CCCCGACGCGCAGCCCCTCGAAGGGCGGGGACTGCAAGGTCCCGCAAGGACATGCCGCTGCCCGTCTTCGCAACACGCCCAGCATGCGCACGACTCGTTAGCATAGCCCGGTCCCAAGGCCGCTGTTTGCTGGAGAATCGCTTCTCCTTCAGTCCCGGGCTGGGGTGTCACGCAGAACACTAGTGCTGCCCTCCTCCCTGCACCCTGGAACTGCGGTCCCGGCCCAGGAGCCGTCCTTCCTTAGTCCCGCTCAGAGTCCATCCTTCCCCCGAGGAAGGTCACAGCGTGTCTGCCACACAACTTTCTGTTCATTCCCGAGAAAAGTCCCTGCTGTCGTTGTTTATGCATATTTGGGGATGAACGTAGCATGTTAGGGTTGGTCCACCCAGACCTCATCTGTGCTGGAAGAGCGGCCGCGTACCCTCAAGTCCGACATGACTTCGTGTTCCCTTCTCCCCCCGTTGCTCTTCCATTCAGACTTGGATTCCAGCCCTCCCCTCCCCCCTTCTTGTCATCCGTTCGACAAGCGTGCATTGAGAGTGTGATCTGGGGCTTGCCTGTGCTGTGGGGAGGGAATCTTTGCAGTTAGCGATTTTACTTAAAAATTAGTACTATTTATACAACTTTTGAGTTTTTAAGAGTTTTATGAATTGAATCAAATACAGGAGATGATGCAGCAAACAAATTCTAAAAACCCCTCCTAGGACACTGATTACTCCCTGGAGACAGCCATGAAGGAGGGGAGAGAAGAGGTGTGCACATCAAAAAATGTGAAGTTTGCATTTTTTCAAACTTAGTAAACAAGGATGAGGTCACTGCTGTATCTGAGGGCTGCCTCCTCCGACAAGGCCTGTTTCCCTACGTACGGTGGAGGGTTAGTGGACCGAGGGGTTCGACACTGTTAAGTTTCCTTGGATATCATCCTCAGTAAATTTGCAACATTCTGTAATTTCTATATAATTTATCCTTAAAATAGCCTGTGTTTCATGTTTGCTCTCATTGAGTTTTACCCAGCATGCTCTAACCATTGTCAAAGTTTTTTCAAGAACAGTATAGGTTTCTTAACTCCGATGGTAGCAGCTGACACAGCTAAGTGCTGTGCAGTTACACAAGATGGGTGAGCCTAGTTACCAGTGTTCTATTGCTGAGGACATTGCGTGGTTTTCATTTTAGTCGCACAGCGCCACCTAGTGGATGGTGTCCATGTGCTCGTCAGTGGTCCAGAGTGAGCTGCCTTTGTCATTCATCACTTCTCTGAAACACAGACTGTAGCGAGACTTGCGTATTCAGGCTTTTCTTAGCCACTCGAACAAAAGTGCAGAGGTTGCGCACTCGATACGAGCCGTCCCCGAGGGATGGTGGCAGGGTGCTCCTCACCTCGATGCCCGCGCTTGCTGGGGAAACCCTCTGAGCCGTGCAGCGCTGCCCGCTGGCTGCAGAGGACTGTTGCTGCTGGCCCTCTGTCCCCAGGCCCTCGCACCCGGGCTTCTGACTGGCCTTTGCTGCTTGTTCGCTGTCCTGGGCGATAGGCCCCGCACCGACTGCGCACGTGGGAAGTTATCTGGGAGAATGGCAGGAAGGCTTGGAAAACCGGTAATATATTAAAATAAGAAAACTTTCAAATCGCGTTAGTCCAGGGAGTCACTGACTGATCCAGCTTGCTGTCAGCTCTGTCACATGGGAAAGTAGCCCAGAGTGTTCTGTTTTTGTTTTTTTTTATCTTCACCTGAGGACACTTTGGCATCTATCTTCAGACAGAGCAGAAGGGAGAGAGGGAGGAAGAGAGAGAGAGAAACATCGATGTGAGAGAGACACACTGACTGGCTGCCACCCACACGACCCCAACCAGGGCCAGGGACTAACCGCAACTGAGGTACGTGCCCCTAGCGGGGACTCTCCGGTTCATAGGCCAGCGCTCTAACCACTGAGCAGACTGGCCAGGGCTGTTGTGTTCTGTTGTTAAATCACTTACTCCATTCTTACACGGAGCCCACGTGTCAGTGAATTATATTCTTGCTTGTGGTCCTCAGTCGACCATGATGTTACGCGTGCACCAAGACAGACGGTTAGCTCGGTGAGAGTGTCTGAGCGGAGATCAGTACTGCGTAGGCTGGCGCAGCCCTGGCAGCCCTGGTAGGCACAAGACCAGACCCTGTGCCCTCCTCCCTCTGCCCAGCCCCCGTGCCGTGCTGTGGGAGCTCGCGCCACGCAGGGGAGGACCACAGCCACGTGGGAGCATGCGCCCAGCGTCTGTCTCCCTCACTCTTCACGGAGAACGGACAGGGAGCCAGCAGGCAGGCACTGGCAGCCGACAGAGCCGAGCACGTTTACAGACAAAACTATCAACTCTGAAATACTTCTGAAGTGACTGTGGCATAGTGTCCTTGCGAAGGGAAAACAACTTTTGGGGGAGTTCTTGGGAAGCGTGATTTTTTTAACAAAAAGCAGCATACACAGCAGGTGACCTCGGGAGAGGGAGGGGGCTGTGTGCACGCCACTGTGGTGCAGAGAAGCAGACGTCTGCGGAGGACAGAGACGCCTCTGCCCAGACAGCGTCACTCTACCCCGGTCCCCGGCCCGCGAGAAAGTGTAAACACTTAAAAAGCTTTTAACATTCTTTGCTGTCACATCAGTTGTGTGAAGCCCTCACTTACTCATCCATCACCCGTTTCCAAGAGTGAAGAGACCGAGCTGGAGTGTGGGGACAGCCCGGTGCAGTCACCGTGGGACCTCAGCTCGTTGCTGGGCGCTCGTCTTCAGGCCTGCACGCGGGACCTGCCAGGACCGGGATGTCCAGTGCCCGCGGGCAGTCTCGCAGCCTTGGAGTGAACCCCCGCAGCACAAGTCAGGTTGACTTTGCCTGCATTGCCTCTGCTTTGTCTGGCAGATAGTGGCTTTTGTTTTTCCTGGAGTCCCTCGAGCATCGATGGTACCTTTGAAGTCTGCAAATGAAAGGATGAGAAGCTGGACTTGACTGCAGTGCCTGTGATGGCAGACGTTCTTCCAGGCTAGCTCTGGACAGCATCTCTGGACCCTGGAGGCTATGGCTGTGCGGCAGACGGCAGCCCGGGTGGACTGGTTGGCCTTGACCTTGACTTCCTACTCTACCTCTCCATCGGCTGCCCCAAGACTTGTGCCTACAGCTTTAGTGTCTTCCCCGCATCCCCACCGGATCACGGCCTCTCATGTCCTGCTGAAGAGGACACGCCTTTCAAACAGAAAGCATATATAGAAAGTGTTCCATGTTTGAATACCTGTGTGTATTTAAATCTGATTTCTAGACTGTTTTAAAAATCTGCAATTCTCAGCTTTTAACCATTAGATTGCATAAAAATCTGGAAGGCAGATTTCCCTGCCTTCTAGATCATGCATCAATAACGTTTGATAGTCGCCTCAGCTGATCTAAGTGTTCATGTAAACGAGTGCCTAGAATCTCAAGCCTGTCTTCCAGACATACTCTTGCCTGAGCTGAGAGGTTTTGAGAGAGGAAAGGCCATTCTGTGTCGATGGGTAACAGTCACCATGTACCCAACAGTTTTGTAGCAGGCATAGTGCTGGGCACTGCCCAAGAATTGTCCTTCAGTCCCCACCACAGCCCCACCATGGGCACCAGAGCTCTGCCCGCGCAGGGGTCAGAGAGAGAAGGAGAAAGCCCATGTCTTCTCGGGAGGCCCCGGGCTGCTGGGGGGAGGGGCAGTGCAAGCTTGGGGAGTGATCACGCTTTTAAAGAACACGCCTTGATTCTGTCGCGTCCTCTGCTAAATCCGGTTTGTTTTGTTTCCTGTGCTGAGACCTCACCGCTCACTTTTGAACCCTCTGAAGTGGACTAGCCACACATTGAACATCTGGGCAGGGACAATCAGTGCCTCTCCGTTTTCTAAGATGAGCTGAAGATGGCCTTGCGACCCCCGCCCCCTGGCCACCCTCCTCCTGTTCCCAGGTCTCCTCAAAAAGCAGTCTGCTCCAGCCCTGGCCGGTTTGGCTCAGCGGTTAGAGCGTCGGCCTGTGGTCCTGAGAGACCCGGGTTCGGTTCCCGCTAAGGGCATGTACCTCGGTTGCAGTTTGTCCCCAGCCCTGGTCGGTTGTGCGGGTGGCAGCCACTCGATGTGTCCTTTCACATCGATGTTTCTCTCTCTCTCTCTGTTCCTCTCTCTCCCTCCCACTCTACCTGAACAAAAAATGGAAAAATGTCCTCGGGTGAGGATTTAAAAAAAAAAAAAAGCAGTCTGCTCCATTCACAGCATTTTTTTAAAAGAAAAACTTAGCTGAAGAGGCAGGTCCTGCCATTCTCGAGCTGGTCTGGAAACGTCATCTGTTGGGAGGTTCTGGAAACGAGAGTCTTCGCAGCTGCACTCCGAGGGCCGGGAGGGCGGGTTCGGGGCCGGGCCTCCGGTGCAAGCTGAGGATGAGGGGCGTGCGGCCGGTCGCACGTTCGTGAGGAAGGCGCCGTCGGAAAGTTTGCCTGGTTCTGGCAGAGCACGCCCGGCCACGGGAGCGTCCTTCGTGAAACGTGTTCTGGGGGGCCGAGCGCGTGGACGTGACTGCGGGGTTCTGTAGATGGCGGCGTGTCAGGAGCGTGGTGTGAACTTGGGTGGAGCCGTCCGAACGGCGCACCTGCGTGCACGGGAGACCCCGTTTCTTCCTTTACAGTCCGTGAGCAGACTCAGCGAAACGTGTGATCCGAGGTGTCGAGGACATTTCTACGTAGCTTTACTGGTATTAGCACCGTCCCTTCATTCTGTGTCTCCACCTGGGTAGTTACACACACGGACATAAGTACACGCACACACGTGTGCTCACAGAGGAGCCATCAGTTTAATTGTGCTGGGGCATTGCCTTGACTTCCCGAGCTTCCTGGAGGCATCTCCGCTCTCCCAGGGAACACGAAGCCTCGGGGTCCTCAGCACCTTTCGAAGGCCTCACCCCCGTCACTCCGCGGGGCTTCTGAGCACCTGGGCCTGCTTGCCCACCTGTGTGCTCATTTACCTTGTGTCCCGTAGACGCCCCTGTACCTGGTGAACCACGGAGAGACGGGGCCGGTCCGGTGCAACCGCTGCAAAGCCTACATGTGCCCGTTCATGCAGTTCATCGAGGGCGGGCGGCGCTTCCAGTGCGGGTTCTGCAGCTGCGTGAACGAGGGTGAGTGCGCAGGGGCCGCGGGCTCCGGGAGGCCTGGGCTGCTGGCTCCCCCTGGGCGGTGCCTGAGCACCGTGGGGCGGGCGGGGTGGGCTCACCACGGCTCTAGGCTCTCGGAGCGCTGGCGTAGCGCCCACAGATGAGAGGTGAAGGTGCAGTCGCCTCCGGCTGAGCCTTGAGGAAGGGCCGAGGCAGGCACCCGGCTCCTGAGCTGTGCAGGGAGCCCTGCAGGAGCCAGGCCCTCAGCTCTCACGCCGAGGTGCTCGTTGGGTTGAAGGAGGCAGGTTGTTTGTTGGAGTCAGGAAGAGCCCGGCAGGCGTGGACCGTGGGCCGCTCTTGCCCCAGGGTGCCCGACAGGTCGCAGAGGGGAGCAGGTGGCCGAGGCCTGCGGGGGGCCGGGCCGGTGGCGGTGCCTACCTCAGGGTCGGCGTTCTGCTTTGTGAGACGTGGCAGGGGGTAGAAGTGCTGACAGACAGCGTTCGTTCACGGTGAAGGGAGACATTTCCACGTCACATGCAGCCGTGTGAACAAAAGACGATTCTAGGACCTGTAGAAACACTGCACCGTACACCCCAACACGGCCGGCGCGAGTCCCCCTCAGTCACGTCACAAAGTGGCCGCCTCGGGTCCTCACGTTCCCTCTGCCCAGCTGAGACTGCAGTTTCCCTCGTCCTGAGCCTTTTCAAGGTGTTGACTTTCCACACGCAGACCCTCTGCATGTGCGGCCTGTGGAACGTGTCTGAAGACGTGGCCGTCTCTTAGTAGGAAAGTAGGAAAATCAAGCCTCGGTCATTATTCTAAAAAGTTGTTTTTTTCTTTATTGATTTTAGAGAGGAAGGGAGAGAAGAGAGAGATAGAAACATTGATGAGAAAGAACATCAATTGGCCGCCTCCTGCACGCCCCCCACTGGGGATCTGGCCCACAACCCGGGCATGTGCCCTGACCGGGAATCGAACCGGCGACCTCCTGGTGCTGAGCACACAGGCTGGGCTCAGTATTTATTTTTAAATCCAGCCTTTGTAATCCCATTGTAATCCGCGTTAGTTCTCGTCTGAAAATAAAGAATACTGAGCTGTTGGTTTTAAAACAAAAGGCATTATTTCTGTGGTTTCACAAATGAAAATGTTCTTTATGAAATGCTTCAAACCAGAGCATAGCTGGCGATGCTGAACACTCCTTTGCCAGTGGTGTACAGCCAGCCTATCGGCCTCGAGGCGGGGGCCCGTTTTCCCAGAGGCCCGGCCATATTTGAGCAAGTGCTCAGTGTGTGACTCATGACTGTTCCGGGCTGTTGGATGACCTCCAGGTCTTTGCCAGAAGGAGCCTCCTTAGACATTTGAATCAAATTAAGATCTGAGTGGTGTGGTCTTTCCCTAATACAGTAATCCTCTCTACTCTGAAGCCCAAACATGAAAAGATGACCATGCACGCTCCCTGTGGCTGAAGGCGTCCTTAATTAAAGGATGATAAATATCACAGTTCTCAGTGTAGTCCGGGTCACCAGTGTATAATTCTGTTAGGTGTATTGAAAACTGAAATGGTTAGAAAAGCCAGCATTCCTTTTAAAAGGTAATTAAATCAGGACAAGTAGATTTCAGGTGGGACGACAAAAACACCAGTGCCTGAACCCCATTTCTCGACAGTGTCCAAATCATAGATGCTCCTGGTCACTAGTAACTTGTAGAAGGACCAGGAAGATTGTTTTAGAAAACCCTGTTCTTTCTAAGACGTGTTTTAAACAGTGGTATTTAGAATATACCACATTCCAGCTTTAAAATACTCACTTCCCTCATGCTAACCCTTTCCTCCCGTAATAAATTCTGAGATCTGATGGTGTGTCTGTGTTATGAAAACAAATGTTTCTTTTCCCATCTCGTCCTCAGTCCCACCGTTCTATTTCCAACACCTGGACCATGTGGGCAGAAGGCTGGACCACAGCGAGAAGCCGGAGCTGTCTCTGGGGTCTTACGAGTACGTTGCCACTTTGGATTACTGCAGGGTAAGTGTTCCCGGAGCAGTGTCTGTCCGTGACGTCAGGTCCCAGGGGATGGCTCTCGCGTGTGAAGAGGGACAGCGTGTTGGAGGAGCCGTGGGGACACAGAGGGCACACGGCTCACGAGCCAGTCGCGCCCTGCTGTGGTCGTGTTGAACATGGTGCCAGACGCACGGCAGTGCTGTGATTTCCAGCCCCTGCAGGTGGAACGCGCTGGGTTCTCAGTGGCCTCCGCCTCCTTTGTTTTGTCCGCATCTCAGAAAGATGTTCTCTCATGGCAAATGCTCGACCGGGCCGTCGGCAGGACTGTCAACGTGTTTCTGTGCCTCCCTTCTCTGCGTCACCACGAGGAGCGAAGGCCCTCAGAACCCTCCACACCCCCAGGCTCTCGTCAGCCTGGGGTCCGGCCTCGGTTTCCTTTGCTTTAAAATGTAGCCATGAGGCTGCCCCTCTACCTGAATCTGAACTGTTACGTTCACTGACAGTGTCCTTCTGACCACTTGCTGTTGGGCCCCAGGCGAGCACCTCAGCTCCATCTTCCTTTGCACAGACTCTGCCCCTGCTCTGAACTCCCCCTCCCTGTAGGCTGCATGCTCCGCAGGAGCCACCCTTCCCGTCACAGCTGGACACGCCCCGGCGAGGGTCTCCTGTGTGCGTGTCCGCGTGTGTGTCCGCGTGTACGTGTGTGCGCGTGTGCGCATGCACAGATTTCCGCTGCCCTCACCATGGTGGTGTCTGCTGGTCTGTTGTGGAGAAGCAGGTCCGCGTGTGTCTGAGCGGTTCGTCCTGTGGCTGTAAGTCTAGGTCGGCCTCCTACAGGCTCCGATCTCCCCGGGGACGAGGCTTTTCCCCAGTTCGCTCTGTGGCGCCCACCGCAGTGTCTGGCACAGGGCAGGCAGCTGATCGGGGTGTGCAGGGGGTGAAGGTGTGACGGCAGGTGAGGGGCTCTGCCCAGGAGCAGCTGCCCCCTTCCCCGTGCACAGCGACAGCGGCATCATGGGCACCTTGCGGGCTCGGAGCCATATGGTCACTGGTTCAGGTTTCAGCTCGGGCCTGAAACTCCAAGTGCCCCTTGCCCCCCCCCCCCTCCCCCACACACGGACGCCACGGAGGCCGGCACAGAAACGGCCTTGACCCCCGAGTCCGTCAGAGTCCGCCAGGGGACCAGTCTGCGGTTGATGGAAATCACAGAGAACATTTTTCCAGCTAGAAGGTTTTTCAACTGCTTAGATTTAAACATTTTTTTCATTTAACTTTTGCATTTTTTTAGTGTTTTGTATGAAGGGTTTTTTTGTTTTTTTTTACTACATTACATAGAACTAGTTACTAAAGGTTCATGCTTTATTTGTTTACAGTTTAACATTTGGACATAGTTTGGGGAACATAAGAACATTTGTGGTACAAATGCTTTAATTCAGGGAGAAAACATGTCCTACACTACCAGCTACTTGGGGTAGTTTGTTGTTCCTGCCGCCGCTGACTGAAGAAAGGTTAGGTGGACGTAAGTGTTCTGATTGAACGTGACCGCCACCGTGACCGCGGGTGGGGAACCACTCGCTGATCTTGGGAGCCACAGCATAAATCTAACTATGCTTGGAGTTTCCAGTTCTCTGCCAGAAAGGCCACATTATGTTGATTTTTATGCTCTTTTAGTAGAAACTTAGGCAGGGAGTCAGATCTATTTCTGGGAACAAAAGTCTGTTATCTGGAAATGCCCCAGATGTCTGATTGATGGGAAATCTCAACCAGCAGGCAAGGAACCAGATGAGAATTGTACATTTTGAGGACTGTTTTTCTAAGCTTAATCTTCCTTTTATTATTCCAAGTGAGGTTCGTAATAAAAGATGCTGTAAATGTCTTCAAGCTTAATCACAGTTTAAATGTACATAAACTATAACAGTGAGTTGCCTTGGAGAATTGGATGATGGAAAAGAGCTTATTTTATTTATGTGTCTTTTTTTTTTTTATCCTCACCCGAGGACATTTTTCCATTTTTTGTTCAGATAGAGAGGGAGGGAGAGAGAAGAAGAGACAGAGAGAGAGAGAGAAACATTGACGTGAAAGGGACACATCGAGTGGCTGCCTCCCGCACACACGACCCAACCAGGGCCAGGGACAAACTGCAACCAAGGTATGTGCCCTTAGCGGGAGCCGACCCAAGTCTCTCGGGACCGCAGGCCGACACTCTAACCGCTGAGCCAAACTGGCCAGGGCTATGCGTCCATTTTTAACACGTAGGAACTTAAAGGAGAATTGCAAAGTTGTGTTTTCCCTATTCGTTTTAGTTCATCTCAGTACCGCATGCAGATGATGTGAACACGTACTGAACGTTCACAATGCGACGCTCTGTGCTTGGGCCTTTCTGTTGGTGGCCCGCTCTCGCTGTGCACCCTGGGGGAGCACCCAGCCGTCCTCACGCCTGTTCCCTCGGGCACAGTACTGAGCTCTGCTTGTGCCAGGCTCTGGTCTCGGCTCGGAGACCCTGTCTCGTCCTCAGACGGGCTGTGCCGACGGCCGTCTTCGTCTCCCGTGAGCGGGGAGGGAGTGGAGGCGGGGTGTGTGAGAAGTTAACGTAGTCCAAGCATGGGAGAATGAGGGTAGTATAGCAGTTCCTCAAAAATAAACAGAATATATGTACGACCCAGCAATTCCCCTTCTGGCACCCCCCCAGATGGTTGGAAGCAGAGTCTCAGAGAGATGTGTGCACAGCCCTGCTCAGAGCCACCACTCACCGCAGCCCGAATGGATGGTGGACGGCGTGGGTGGCACCCATACAGTGGGCCCATTCTGCCTTGAGAAGGGGGCAGTCCTGCCACTGCTGCCACCCAGATGAGTGGACGTAGGGCACTGAGCTGAGCGCAGCGAGCCGATCACACAGAAGACAAGCGCTGTGTGGTTCTGCTCATGTGGAGAGCCTCGGGCAGCTGTGCTCCAGAGGAGGGCGATGGGATGTAGCAGGAGCCCCAGGCGGGAGAGTGGGGGTACGTTAGCGTGGAATGGCTGCAGAGTCAGCTCTGCGAGAGGAGGCCTTCCAGACGGGGGTGGTGGGGACACAGCAGGGAGCAGGCTCTCAGGGCACCCCCTGTGCAGGGAGGGAGGAGCTCCAGGTCGGGACACAGCCGGGAGCAGGCTCTCAGGGCACCCCCTGTGCAGGGTGGGAGGAGCTCCAGGTCGGGACACAGCCGGGAGCAGGCACTCAGTGCACCCCCTGTGCAGGGAGGGAGGAGCTCCAGGTGAGGGCACAGCAGGGAGCAGCTCTCAGTGCACCCCCTGTGCAGGGAGGGAGGAGCTCCAGGTGGGGGCACAGCAGGGAGCAGCTCTCAGGGCACCCCCTGTGCAGGGAGGGAGGAGCTCCAGGTGGGGACACAGCAGGGAGCAGCTCTCAGGGCACCCCCTGTGCAGGGAGGGAGGAGCTCCAGGTGGGGACACAGCAGGGAGCAGCTCTCAGGGCACCCCCTGTGCAGGGAGGGAGGAGCTCCAGGTGGGGGTACACAGCCGGGAGCAGGCTCTCAGGGCACCCCCTGTGCAGGGAGGGAGGAGCTCCAGGTGGGGACACAGCAGGGAGCAGCTCTCAGGGCACCCCCTGTGCAGGGAGGGAGGAGCTCCAGGTGGGGGCACAGCAGGGAGCAGCTCTCAGGGCACCCCCTGTGCAGTGGGGTCAGGACGCAGGCTCATGCTGTGCAGTTCACTAGGGTGAAAAGTGACGTGAAGAGAGACGAGGAGGCCTGGCTGGGGGCTGGCCTGGGAGGGGCACCGAGAGCCCTGGTGAGTGGTGCGGGTGGCCGGGAGACACACTTCCAGGGAGGGAGGTTCAGGCTCAGGCCATGCCGAGGACTGTGCCAGTGTTCGCGGAGAGGCCCGGGAGGGCAGGTGTGGCACTGACGTTGGCAGCCCGAGGGCGGTGCGGCAGGGGCTCCACGTGGCCGCGTGCTCTGGGTGGCCGGATGCTGGCCTGCGGTCCGAGGAGAGCGTGGTGGTGGAGCCGAGGCGTCGCCGTGCGGTGGAGCTGGTGCACACTGCGTGCACGGGTGAGCCTTCTGTGTGCAGCTGTGGGCAGGAGAGGGCGAGGGTGTTTCTTAGAGAAAGGTAAGGAAATGAGGGGCAGAAGCGTGGTCAGGAACGCGGGAGAGGAACGGATAGAACGGGCCGTGGTGGCTACGGAGACCGAGAGGCCAGGGTGAGGGCCGGGCGTATTCCAGGTCACTGCCAGGGAGCAGGGGCCTGAGAGCGTCGCAGTGGGTGTCTGGAGCCGGTCTGTGCCGTTGGTTCACCGTGTGGAGCTGCCTGGGTGAAGCGGTCTGGTCGCATGGGGAGAGCCGCGTGACGGAAGCCAGCGGTCCGCTCTGGGTCTCCGCGCGAGCCCCTCAGACAGTCTGGGTGGGGGCACACGGGGGAGAGTCAGCCGTGGACCCAGTGATGGGGAGAAAGGGAGCAGTCAAATCTAGTGCCATGTTCTAAGCCTTTGGGTGGCAGTGGCGATGTTATTGGTAGAGACAGAGACCTGGGCAGGGAGAGCTTTCCGGAAACGCTGCCTTCACTCTGCACACGCAGTAGGAGTCGCAGGCGCCTTCTGAGGGAGGTGTGCGCTGGGGACGTGGAGGCCCTCGGCTGGCGGAGCCGTGAGGAGGAGGACACGCAGGACAGGAGGGCACATCTGGTCTCGGCGTCTCAGCTTAATCGACGGGCGTGATTATTCTCACTCACGCGCCGCAGCAGGGGCACGTTGCTCCTTAGATTCGATGGCATCAGGGGTGACCCGCAGTGACTCACATGGAGAGCAGCGGAGTCCCCGTTGGCTTGTTGGTCTGCTTTGGATGTAGCAAAGTGTTGTGGTTTTCAGGCCGGTGGCTTTTGTTTGTTTAATCCTCACCTGGGGAAATGTTTTTTACTGATTTTAGAGAGAGGAAAGGAGAGAGAGAGAAACATCGATGTGAGAGAGAAACATCAATTGGTTGTCTCTTGTACATGCCCTGACTGGGGATCGGACCGCAACCTGGGCATGTGCACTGACCAGGAATCACACCTGTCTTTCGTGTGTGGGATCACGCTCCAAGCAACTGAGCCACACTGGCCAGAGCCAGGCTGATGATTTCTAAGTTCTGTAATGTAATTTATTTTATTGATTGATTCTAGAGACAGATGGGAAAGGGGGGGAGAGAGAGAAACATCGGTTTGTTGCTCCATTCATTCATGCATTCATTGGTTGGTTCTTGTATGTGCCCTGACCCAGATCAAAACCACACCCTTGCAGATCTGGGCCAACTGAGCTACCCGGCCAGGGCCTTGTTTTCTTACTTCAGATGAACTGTTATTAGAAGAATGTTACATCTAGCCTTGTAGTGCTTACAGAATGAATCAGTAAGATAATTTGGAGATATTATCATCCAATTTTATAATTATAGCAGTTAAAATATAATCTCAGAACACTTTTATCATTTATTATAAAGTTAAAATTAAATTAGTCTTAACTCTTTATCTGTTGGTGTGAGTCACTAAAGTTTTTTGCCTGTGGCTCTCTTTTCTAAATATTTTTGTAAGATCCGATTGAAGAATCGCTTCCTAAGAACTGTTTGAACACCAGCCAGTAGGGACCCACAGCCACAAAACATTTGTGTAGCAGCTGCTTTGTGTTAAAGTGATCATTTTAAACAGAGAGAGAAAAGGCCAAGTATTCCACGTTTTCACCATAAATATGTTAGAGGTAGATGAGTATTTAACAATGGAGTATAATTTTTAAGAAGCGTACGATTATATCCTAGCTTGTAGTTCCCATCTTTAAAACTGAAAAGGGCTTAGCAAGGAAGACATTTGAGGAGAGTGTACGGTCAGTGACGCGTCACTGCAGAGCCAAGGACGAGGACAAGTCATTGACGCTCTTCTGGCACAACTTCCCGTTCCAGTCCGTGTCTTCTGGAGGCAGAGCGGGAGATGCCAGCGGCCAGCGGAGGGAGCGGCCGGGGCACCTGGAGGGCTCGGGCGCTGGGCAGGGAACCTCCCGTGGGCTCTGGGATGCGAGTCGGTAGTGGCCCAGGTCACGCCGGGAAAGTGCACAGCTTTATCCAGACTGTGCTCCAGAAAACCACCCGGTGCCACAGGTGTTACGACCTGCGTGTTAGACGAAACGTCTGATGGCCTTCCAGAGTTGCTGAGTGCTGTGATGTTTGTGACTGTACATGCTTTGTGACTTCCTGTCGTTTGCCCGCTCTCCTGTAGAAGAACACGCCGCCCAACCCTCCGGCCTTCATCTTCATGATCGACGTCTCCTACAGTAACATCAAGAGCGGGCTCGTGCGGCTCATCTGCGAGGAGCTGAAGACCGTGTTGGAGCGGCTGCCCAGGTGAGGCGCCCATACTGCTGTGGGCCGAGGGACGGGTGTCTTAGCCAGAGAGGACGTTGGTGACCCTGTGTTCCTCAGACGGCACCGTTCTTAGAGGCCTGCCGAGACAGCACGGCCTTCAAAACAAGCAGGACACTGGTGAAACGTGGTGCGACCACGTCGGGTCCAGGTGCCCGGGGTCCCGTGTGCTGGGAGACCCTCGGGGTCTGTTGCTCAGTTTCACAGGCATTGGTTTTCTGGTGGAAACGGGTGGTTGCCGGGCATGTGGAGAGTTCTCGGGGTGCCCAAGAAGGGACCTGCGGTGGCCAGGTTCCCCCTTGCCCTGAGATGCACCATCTGACCCGGGGACACATGCCCCCTGCTGCCATGGGGCAGGGCGGAAGGAAAGGGACCATGGCCCGCACAGGCGGCATCTTCCAGTGGACAGACTTGGGGTGTAGGACGGGAACGAGACACGGAGCAGGGCAACTGCTTTCTCCGTGAGACGGGACAGGCTGCAGAAAGCAGGTGAGAACTGTGGGTGCCCTGGTCTCGGCACCCCCTCCCTGTCTCCGGAGCACGAGCTCTCTTTTGGGAAAGGGACGCTCAGAGGCGGGTGCCTAGCCCTCGGGGCTCCAGGTGCTCAGGGCAGAGCCCACAGGAGCAGTTCTGTGTGCACCGTGATGCTGAGGTCCCGCATTCCCGAGGAGTCCGCAGCAGCAGTGGGGTGCTCAGGGGTAGGTAACTAGCCCTCGGGGCTCCAGGTGCTCAGGGCAGAGCCCACAGGAGCAGTTCTGTGTGCACCGTGATGCTGAGGTCCCGCATTCCCGAGGAGTCCGCAGCAGCAGTGGGGTGCTCAGGGGTAGGTGCCTAGCCCTCGGGGCTCCAGGTGCTCAGGGCAGAGCCCACAGGAGCAGTTCTGTGTGCACTGTGATGCTGAGGTCCCGCATTCCCGAGGAGTCCGCAGCAGCAGTGGGGTGCTGAGACTCGAGGTGCGCTCAGACGGAGTTCTCAGGGAAGGCTGAGCCGGCAGCACACGGGAGCTGGGGCCGGAGAGGGGTCCCTGCAGGCAACTTGGGAAGCCAGGGCCCTGCGAACATGGCGTTCGGGGCCCACCCCTCCCAGGGCTGCCGACTCTGCGCGAAGCTCCAGCTTGATGAGCAGGAAGGAAGGGAAAGGCCCTGCCCCTGGAGTGGTCTCGGCCTTGCCGTCTCCACTGCTCCTGCGAACCAGGCCGGCTGCCCTCCCGCCCCAGCCCGCCCCTCAGCGCTGCGTGCGACGCTCAGGCTAATGTGGGTGGTGAACCCACGCCTCCCTCAGTGCCATGGCCGCTGCCCCAGGAGAGATGCGGGGCTGGCACCGGCAGGGGAGGAGCAGGCTCTGCTGTTAGCCCCCCGCCTCCACGGTGCCCTCCCAGGGTTTGTTCAGCCAGAGGGCCTGTCCTCCCTTCACCTTGTAAAACCAATCTGGCCCTGGCTGGTTTGGCTCAGCGGTTGGAGTGTCGGCCTGCGGTCCAGAGAGACCCGGGTTCGGTTCCTGCTAAGGGCACGTACCTCGGTTGCAGTTTGTCCCTGGCCCTGGTTGGTCGTGTGGGTGGCAGCCACTCGATGTGTCCCTTTCACATTGATGTTTCTTTCTCTCTCTCTCTCTCTCTCTCTCTCACCCTCCCACTCTGTCTGAAAATGGAAAAATGTCCTCAGGTGAGGATAAAAATAAATAAAATAAAGCCAAGCTGGCCCTGGACAGTTTGGCTCAGTGGTTACAGCATCAGTCTGCAGACTGCAGGGTCTTGGGTTTGATCCCAGCCAAGGGCATGTACCTAGGTTGCAGGTTCCATCTCTGGCCCCTGGGGCCATGTGGGAGGCAACCAGTCTCTCTCTGTCTCTCTCTCTCCCTCCTGTCCTTCCTCCCACTCTACCTAAAAAACAATGGAAAAATATTCTTGGGTGAGATTAACAAAACACACCCAAATCTGTCTCCTCCCCCACGTGTACCTTGGGCCGCGTGTACCTGTGTGTTGTTCAGGTGAGACTGTCAGTCTGGCTGGCTGCTCCGAACAAGCGGACTGTGCCAGACAGCCTCTGGGAGCGGGCGGGGCAGGCCTGGGTGGCGTCTGCGCGTGCCCCCGCCTGAGTGGCCTCTGCAACGGGGGGCCCGTCGCTTCACTGCTTAACCCTGAACTCCCACCTTCGAACTGCCAGGCTGCCAGGCTTCGCTGTCGACTCCTCTGGAGCAGGAGAAAGATTCGCGGTTTCGCCTGTTCGCAGAGTCGACTCCTGGTGGTTGTTGCTGCTGCTGTTTTCTGATTGATTGTATTTCGTGCTGCTGCAGCTGCAGTGTTCCCGATGCTCCCTGTGGGCACTCTGGTTCCTCGGAGACGGGCGTCGGGGTTACTGTGCCCGCGTCCGCCCCGCGCAGTGACTGGGCCCGTGCGGAGGGAGCTGGAGGGGAAGCGGAGCCAAGCGTGCTGCTCGCGCGCTGTCCCTTAGCCTAGAGGACGGGTAGAAGTGACGTGGAGGAGGCCGGGACTCGCGTTTCGTTTTCTGCTGCGCACGAGTCAACAGGAAAATTATGAAATAGTTCTCTGTTTCTCAAATTTAAAAAAAAGTTCCCATGGAAATATGCACAAATATTTTGCAATAATATGAGATGTTCTGAAGAGATGTTTTTTAGAAACATTAATTAGATTTTAAGTGAGCTCATGAATCCCAGGATGCTCCTTTCCCATCACTTGCAAAAGTCCAGATCCAGTGGGAAACCAGGCAGACCCAGCCTGTCATTTCCCTTTATGCCTCAGTGACCCCAGATCACTGAAGGAAAGTGAGTGCCCTTGGTGACCTGCTGGGCGTTTCTCGCCTCTGTCAGCAGAGGTTGCTGGGAAACGGGCACTATCCGTGCTGTGCCGGTGCGCCGGCCCTCAGATACAGCCGCGGCGGTGCGTCTGCCCGAGCCTGCGGTGTGAGCGCCTCCCTCGGCCCGGGGTAGTGTCCTCCCGCTCCGCAGCTGGGCGGCCATGGGCCCAGGCGACCTCGGGCACGCCACCTGCCTGTTCTTCTTCCTCCTGCGCGTCACCCTCTGCCCCGAGCGGACCGGGTGCCTTTTCCTCAAGTCCCCTGAGCACAGTCAGCTGCATCGATTCCCAGGAGCCAAGGAAAAGGCCTCTCCTGTGGCTACCCTGTGGCCACTGAGCACTGTGCTGTGTCTGCCACCGAAAGCTAGTAAGAGCCCAGGAGTGCTCAGGTGTGATATTTCAGGGGGGAGGGACAGACAGACACACACACACACACACACTTCACTGTTGTGGACCTGGCGTCCGGACCCCTCAGGTGTGATATTTCAGGGGGGAGGGACAGACAGACAGACACACAACACACACACACACACCCCCCACTGTTGTGGACCTGGCGTCCGGACCCCTCAGGTGTGTTATTTCGGGGGGGGGGACAGACACACACACACACACCCCCCACTGTTGTGGACCTGGCGTCCGGCCCCTCAGTCCTGACAGCCCGAGGTGGACTGAGTGGGGCCGGCCTTCACACCCGCACAGCCCGGCCGTGGGATTCCGCGAGAGGCTGCTCTTTGCTGCAGTGTTGCTTTTCTTGTCTTGCCGGGGCCATCACAATGGTCATTACGAGTAAGACTCACATGGCCAGTTCGTGTATGTGGTTCATCTTAGATATGTACATGGTGTGCACGGTACATGGCTCTCAAATCAGCCCGTTTTCCACCTGGAGCGGCTCCTGGCCGCGCGGGAGTCACGGGATGGCAGGTCCTTCCCGGCAGGCGGCGCGGTCCTGTCGGGACGCATCTCCCTCTGGCCGGTGCCCGTCCCCCTCTGAGCGACGGCGCCCTGAGAGGCTGTGTGTAGGGAACGGAAGGAGCCTTACTTGTTCATGAAACAGTTTGCTGTGGATTGAGAATAGGAATGCGAAGAATTATGAGGTTAAAGAAATGTGAGCAATTTTTTTTTATATCTACTTGATTTTTCCTTAAAATTTTGAGACTTTTTCTCTTTATCAGTTGACTTATTTTTGTAATATTCCCATCCCAGTCTTGCTTACGTCTGGTAAACCATGATTTAGACCAAAACCTGAACCTGTCTTCTGTGGAAGTATACTTACGCGTTTCTGAGAGATCTAAGAAAGAACCTCCAACTCTTTTTTTCCTCCCTAGGGAAGAGCAAGAAGAGACTTCCGCGGTCCGAGTCGGCTTCATCACCTATAACAAAGTTCTCCATTTCTTTAATGTCAAGAGCAACCTGGCGCAGCCGCAGATGATGGTGGTGACCGACGTCAGCGAGGTCTTCGTGCCTTTGTTGGACGGTTTTCTGGTCAACTATCAAGAGTCCCAAGCTGTGATTCACAAGTAAATATCATCTGCTTTGTAATTTAAATACAGATGAGGTATCTGTTTTTGTTTTGATTTAATCACACTTTGTTTAGTTTTGCCCTGAGCAAGGAGTTTGAACACAAGAGTCATAAAACTCTATCATTTCTGCCCAGCTGGTGTGGCTCAAGGGTTGAGCATTGACCTGAGGTTGCCGGTTCGATTCCCGGTCAGGGCACATGCCCGGGTTGTGGGCCAGGTCTGCAGTGGGGGGCGTGCAGGAGGCAGCCAGTCGATGTTCTCTCATCGATGTTTCCTTTTCTCTCTCCCTCTCCCTTCCTCTCTTTCTAGAATCAATAGAGAAGAAAAAAGATTTTTTTTAAACTCTATCATTTCTGTTAGTGCTGCCTCTTTTCAATGTAGACCAGTCTCTCCAAGAAGGAAGGTATTTAGTCCTCACACTCACCCACCTGCCCCTTCTGTGCTGGGAAGGCACATGAGACAGACCCTGCGTGTGGTGAGCCTGCGTGCCGGGCAGTAACAGGAGGGTCGTGTAGAACGAGAGGTCTGGGGGTCAGGAGGGCAGTGGTAGAAGAGGTAGCGACAAAGACTGAGATCCTGGCAGTGTTCCAACAGTCAGGAGAGTCGGAGCCGCACCGTGCGGGGTGTGACTCCACCCTCGGGTTCGGGGAAGGCTCAGATGTGAGACACGTGCTCCTCGACGTTCGTCTCCAGTGTGCGGACGTGTAACGTCTTTCTGGTGCCTTCTCGCAGTTTGCTGGACCAGATTCCGGAGATGTTCGCCGACTCCAGCGAGAACGAGACCGTCTTTGCTCCTGTCGTCCAGGCCGGCATGGAGGCCCTGAAGGTGAGCGGGCTCTGCTCAGGCCGCTGAGCGCTTCTGAAGCCGCTGGTGCGGGGCGCAGCTGCGACGGAGCGCCCCTGTTAGCCCGCAGCCGGCTCGGCTCCTCCCGGCTCGCCCACACCGGTCAGGAGGACGTGGCCGGAACCACCCGTGTCCCCCGGGCTCACATGCCAGCCTGGCCATCGTCCAGCTACTGATCTGTCAGGACGTCCAGTTTAGCTCCTCCCTTTGGCTTTTAATCATACGATTCAGTTAGGAATGTTTCAACAGTATCTGAACTACCAGATCTGAAGAGAAAACCCCTTCCCTTGGGGCGTGCGGCTGTCGGTGACGGGTGGGAGGCCAGGGCCTTGCCGTGTGCCCACGGGATGCCGTGACCGCCGTGCCGTGTGGGGCGTGTGTGTGAGGACCACAGCCCTGCCTCTGAGCTCACGGTGCTGAGCCGGGACTGTGACACAGTGTCATTGCCTGTGTTCCCAAAGAGCGGGCGAAGACTTCCTTTGGCAGGGCCAGGACTGTGGCCAGCGAGTCACAGAGGCAGGTGTTCTGCACACGAGGCGGAGCTCAGAGTGTCATCTTCTGGGGACAGCAGCGCTGAGGGAGCCTGGACACAGCGTCTCTTCCCAAGTGTCCAAGTGGAGACATGTTAGAGCCGCATCGCCCTCCCTTGAATTACAGCTTGATTTCTATCCGAGATGCCAAGTGAGAGCTGTAGGCCTCTGGATGGTCAGGCGGAATGACCTGGAGGCAGAGAGCAGACAGGGGCGCACACAGAACACCTGCTTGCGGACGTGCTGAGGGGGCAGCCCCCGCACTCTCCAGAAGCCCTGAGCTGTCCAGCGGAGGCGTCCGCACCGCGACCTGCTGCGTGCTCCCGTCCACAGTGCCGAGTGCTCGCAGCTCGGCCTGCACCTCGCGCCCCGGCCCTGTCCGCGTCTGCGCGCCCACGGCCCAGACCCACAGAGCCTCTGAGGAGCTGGAGGGAAACGGCCTCTGGTGCTTCGCTTCAGGCCTGTCGCCAGTCGGGGGTTTACCTGGGAGTCCTTTTGATACATGTCTTTTGATTTCAAGGAGATACATCAGAACATCCGTCCATAAGGGTCTAGGGAGCCCCAGGTGAGAGGCGCCGGGCCCACTGCGGGAGGTCGAGGTCCCGAGAAGGCAGGGAGCGAGGTGGCGCTGCGGCACCATTGTCCCGGAGCAGGCTTCTCTGGAGAGCCGAGCGCGGCCCGCAGGCGCAGTCTGTCCGGGCCTGGTGACCTGGCTCCCAGGGCAGGGTGTAGGCGCTGACGTTGGACGGGTTCCCCAGGCCGGCCTTCCTCCCTGCGTTCCGCGTGACCGGAGGGACACGGCCGCCACCTAACCCTGCAGCAGGCGGTTGGGCAGCACAGGCAGCCGGATATCGAACTCTTTCTTGTGCTGCTTACAAGGTGCTCTTCAGTGTGTGGCTGGTGAATTGTGCAGCGAAACCTCATAGCCGTTGTGTAAGGGAAGAGGAGTTAACTGGCTTCTTTACAAATACTGAACTTTATCTTTGCAATGGGCCCCAATATTTCCCTTTGGAGCTGACACAGGGCGGTTCTGTGTCCACTCATGATGCGACCTTGTACTGCGTCACTGAATCCTCTGCATGGTGTGTGTGTCATTGCTGATTCCTCTGCCCTGTGTCATGTGCCTGAGGCGTGGAGACGTCAAACAGTTCACTGCTGTCACCCCCTGGGAAGGTGGCGGGTCCTGACCGCAGCCTGACCCCGCGGATGAGATCACTGCCTCCCCGAGAAGAGAGCACCGAGGTGGGCAGAGCATGCTTCACAGCCGAGGCCTTAGGATGGGGACAGACAAGAAAAGTGGGGAGAAGACGGAATTGTCAAAAGTTTATACCTTTTCTGCTACTTGAATGAAAACAAACTAATGGTACTTTTATAATAACAGAAGTGATAGAAATGAGAGAATCGTCCCAGGATTTGAAAGTTTTTGACATGTCGTTGTCAGTGTTACTGGGAACGGCCCTTGGAGCTGGGCGCTGGAACTGAGTGCATCACTGAGCGGGCGGTGCCGGCAGCGCCCTCTCCTGGCTGTGCACGGCGGGAGCGCCTCCCTGCGCTGCTGCATCCCCCTGCCCACTTGTCCGGGCATCAGCAGTGACAGAGGCACCGGGCACCACTGGCCACAGCCAACACGAGACAGGGCGCTGGCCCCTGAGTGAGCTGGGGCCCCACCGCCAGGACCCGCTCCACAAAGCATCAGAGTGTCACTCAGTGTGATAAGCGAGGGCAGGCTGCCCTTGAATTCTGTTCATGGGTGTTTTAAGGACCAATTCTTAAACCCAGGCACCTTATTATTATTAGCAAACGACCTGCCGGGCATCTCCCAGGGGAGCCAGGCACATCAGTACCCCCAAACCCAGCTCCAGGCCAGGGAAAGGGAGACGGGCCCCGGCCGAGGGAGCAGATGTGCAAGATGCGGAGCTGCGAGGACAGCAGGGGATCAGCCTGGACAGACGGACAGTCTCGGCTCCCTGAGCTCGGAGCGCACGGCCGGACCTTCTCCCTGAGGCTGGGGATCAGACGAGACCACGGCACGTGTGGGAGGCAGCTCTTCTCGCTCTCCTGCCCCCGAGGGGCGTGGGCTTTGCCCGTGTCAGAGTCTTCAGGGTTCTTCGGAGAGCCGCGACCTGGCCAGACCAGTTGCCTTTGTTCAGAGACGGCGCTCGGGCCCCACGTGCCAGGGTGGTTCGGGGGAAGGAAGACCGGAGGGGGGCAGTCGGTGGAACCTTCCTGTCAGTCACTTCGCTCGATCGGCGACGTCTTGGCCCCTGAGAGAAGACTGCAGAGATGCTTAATGCCCAGCACGCTGTCCTGGAGCCGGCACCCTCCTCTTACCGCGTCTGTCTGCGCACGAAGATGGGACCTGAGCGCCAAGCGCGTTCCCGGTCACCGTGCCTGTCGCCGCAGCTTCCTCCCCGGGTGGGCTCCGGGTCCCCCCTCACCTCCTGAAGGTTCCGGGAGTCGCATCCTGACCCTGGAGGCGGTCACTTCCTTCACTTCACGGTTCCTGGGCCCTGAGATGGGCACATGCTAAACGCTGACACTGCTTCGTTTCTGCGCGTGGGGGGCGCAGCCCCATTTACATGTGGCTCCTTCATGGACCTTGTGCAGCGTCAGGGGAGTCACTTGTCCTCTCAAAGCCTTCGTTTCCCGTTCCCACGAGGGAGGCCAGCACCTGCCCGGGGCGCAGAGGCTGTGGCGAGGGCCGGGAGGGACGCTCCAGTGCTGGGCTCACAGGAAGTGCTTGTACGTTCATTGCTTGTGCTGGTTCCCTTGCAACAAGCTGTCCCACCACGATATTTCCTGCGACTGTTTCAGGCCGCAGACTGTCCCGGGAAGCTGTTCATCTTCCACTCCTCCTTGCCCACGGCGGAAGCCCCCGGGAAGCTCCGAAACAGGGAGGACAAGAAGCTGATCAACACGGACAAAGAGAAGGTCGGTGAGCAGCATCCGCGGCACCTTGGGGGTCGGGGAGGGGCCGTGCGCTCCGTGTGGGAGGTGGAGCCCCAGGAAGTCGGGACCGCGCAGCAGGGGTGCTTCTCAAGAGCTGCTGTGTGAAGTAGAGGCCCAGTAAGGTAGGTCTCGGACTGCGTTCTGAGGCCTCGTAGGAGCCTGGTGATGAGACGGTGGGAGTGGAGGCCGGGACGTGAGAAGGGGGGGAGGGGACAGCGACTGCTGCCTGTGACAACACTCGGCCCGGGCCGCTCTGCTCACACCCAGGGCCACGTCCACGGGGCCACGTCCACGGGCAGGGCGGCACGTGAGCCGGCACGTGGCCTCCTCCAGGTCTGCAGAGGGAGGACCACGGGATCCGACGGGTCGTGTGTGGACCCAGGCCCAGGACGGGCCCAGGACGACTGGCGCACTGAGGGTTGTCCTTCGTTCTTCAGCCCAGGGCCCTGCACTGGAAAACCACTTCTTTTCTCATTGAAACATGGGAATTCAACAGGAATTCAGAGTGAACCCGAAACATGTTGTGGTTTTCACTTTCCTTCTGTGCATCTCTTTCCACAGACCCTCTTCCAGCCCCAGACCAGTGTCTACGACTCTCTGGCCAGGGACTGTGTGGCCCACGGCTGCTGTGTGACGCTCTTCCTCTTTCCCAGCCAGTACGTGGACGTGGCCTCCTTGGGCCTGGTGCCTCAGCTCACGGGAGGCACCCTTTACAAGTACAACAATTTCCAGGTAAAGCCAGCGTGTGTTCACCGGGCTTCTGCCACGTTTTAGTCCGCTGGTCCGGTCCCCGGGCCGAGCTGCACCCGTGAGCAGCCGGCAGGTGGGAACTCAGAACCACGGAAGCGGGTGCTCTCCCACGCCCTGAGCTCATGTGGCCGTGGAGCTGAGTCCCCACGAGAGGAAATGCAACGTCTATAAAACTTATGCTCAGTAGATTTAAGGTATTGTTCTTAAAGTGCCCATACATGTTTCAAAGTGTGATGCTTTGGGGACCAGTTCACGATACCCATCCCTTCTAAGCCTGGACAGAGAGGGTCGAGAGGGGAGCCAAGTGCCGGCACTGTGACGGGCCAGGTCCCCTCAGGGACAGAGGGCACAGCAGGCACGGGGCACAGCGGCACACTCCTGGGGACACTGGCACCTTGAGAACTCACCATACTGAGGGGCAGGAAATGTGCCGGCCCCCCAGGAACAGGTGTCGAAGAGGCTGGGCTGCGCCACGGTCCTTCTCCCAGGGCCCCTGTCAGATGAGTCCCTGCCTGCCCTGAGCAGGAGGTTCCGGGGGCCTCGTGTGCACCTGCACCTGGGACACGGAGTGGGCACGAGTGTCCCAGCACTGACGGTGCCAGTCACCCTGCTTTCTCTGTCATCGGCGTCGCCTCGCGTCGCCTCGCCATGCTGGTGCTGTGAGCTAGGCGAAGGGTTGATGAGGCTGGGGTGCCATGAGCTGGAACGGAAAGACCCCTCCCTAAGGTTCCTGCGTGAGGGAGCTTTTCAGAGGTGGTGGAGTGAGCTGTTACTGTGAGGGTTTCACTGCCCCCTGCTGGGCGTTGATCACACTGTCTTTCCAGGTGCACTTGGACAGCCAGCAGTTTCTGAATGACCTCAGAAATGATATTGAAAAGAAAATAGGATTTGATGCTATCATGAGGGTCCGTACCAGCACAGGTAATTTTCACGTGTACTGTTTTTCAGGTCTCTGTTGTGTAATTGTTTCCTCTTCAAATTCGTGACAGGCCAACGAAGAAAATAACGGCACAGTAAGGAGAAACGACGTTTCCCTTTCCCTTCCCTAGGTTTCAGAGCGACGGACTTCTTCGGCGGGATTGTCATGAACAACACCACCGACGTGGAGATGGCGGCCATCGACTGCGACAAGGCGGTGACGGTGGAGTTCAAGCACGATGACAAGCTCGGGGAAGACAGCGGGGCCTTGATCCAGGTGCCGTAGCCAGGAGTCCTGTCTGTGCTGTTCACTCTGCTGCTGACGTGACCACAGGCAGTCCCGTCCAGCCTGCGAGCCCGTGGACTCGCGGTCAGTCCACGGGCATCCGCAGCCCAGGCCAGTGCTAGGCTCGGCACCGTCCACCGTCGCTTGTGCCCGGGCGAACACCAAACGCCGTGTTAAGCACATTAGGTTCTGAATAAGTATGACTAGGACTCGGTTGTCCTGTCAATACAATGAACTAGAACCCTGGAGACGGAATTGAAACGAGAGACATCACATGTCACAGTCATCGTTTCCAGACCCGGGCGTCAGCCACCCTGAAGGACGGGGAGGGCTGGCCCTCGTGGAGGGCGAAGGGCGCCGGTGTGCCCCGGGTCACAGGTGTCGGGGGGATGGCGGCGTGCTCGCTCTGGACTGAGTGGCTGGATTGTCGGCATCACCCCGAGCACAGCCCGGCGTGTGTGTGTCTGAGGGGAGGGGCCGCGCGTACCTCAGAACAGGGAGGCGATGCCTCTGGCCCGATCCCCGGGAATAAACTTGGAGGCATGGGGAACGGCGTGGACATGCAGACAGGGATCTGTGTGGGGCCAGCCCAGCTAAATGTAGGCTTAGACCAGTAGATGCTGCGTGGAAGCCCGTGTATGCCCTGGTCACCATTCCTCGTGGGGACAGACGGGATTCTGTGGGGGAGGGGAGAGTCCTCCAGCTACACACACCGCCCGTGGCTGAGGCAGGCTCGTGGGGGGCGTGGGGACCGGGCCAAACGTGCTGGTTGCTCCCCTGCAGTGCGCCGTGCTCTACACCACTGTCGGGGGGCAGCGGAGACTCCGCATTCACAACCTGGCCCTGAGCTGCAGCTCCCAGCTCGCCGACCTCTACAAGAGCTGCGAGACAGATGCCCTCGTCAACTTCTTCGCCAAGTCAGGTGAGCTGCGCCGACCCCTCTTCGGACCGTCCTGGCCCCGTGTCCTCGGGCAGGGTCCCGGGACACCTCGGGTGTCAGAATGTGCAGCTGCTCAAGCCCCTCGTGCAAAGTGGCGGAGTGTTTGCGTGCAACCAGCGCACATCCCCTGGTAGACTTGAACTCACCTCTAGGCTACGTGTCATCCCCAGTACAGTGTATGGTGGGGAGCAGTGACCAGAAGAAGCCTGTACATGTCAGTGCACACCCGCCGTCGGCCTGACTGCATAGAACACATCAGCAGCGACGTCACTTGCAGAACCACACTGGTTGGATCCACGATGTGGACGCTCGGAGGCGGAGGGCCGGCCAGGCCTGCCGCCTGCTGCTGACCCGCTCGCCGCAGTCGAGCACTCGGCGGAGCAGCCTTTCGGGGCTCGGTGCAGGATTCAGCACCGCAGAGGGCGGAGGACTAGTCAGCTCTCTAGTGAGGACCAGTGAGGGCACAGCTGAGTCAGGCCCACTCAGCAGTTCATTTCAAGTTTCCTTCGCAGGGGGAGGAGTTGAAATTTTGGACGGGCTACTTAGCCTTGTTGTGTGTGGGTGTGCCCGGCACACGGGCAGTGGACGGAGGTCGCTGGTGCACACTGAGCTCACTCAGGCAGACCGTGGTAGCTGCGTGGCCGCCCGGAGGTGCAGTTCCCTTAGGCCCGCCCCCCCCGCCCCCCCCCCCCCCCCCCGCGGAGCGTCTGCACTGGGATCTAGGCGTGGCGGCCAGCCGCAGGGCGCAGCAGGTCAGCAGGGGCAGGCTGGGCTTCCCTCTCGGGCGCAGATTCCATTTCCCACATGCTGAGGGAACTGCGCACGATTCCTGCCTTCCGCTGTAGGTGGGCCCTTGTCCACTGCACGGTCACCCGCTCAGTCAAGGGAGCGTTAGCAAGTGACTGCGTTTGTCTAGGCTGTCACTCCTTGCTCAGGGATCTCAGACAACAGCGGTTTGTCCTTTTGGTGATGTTTGAGGGGATGCATTTCCCAGCTGAAACGCCCTCTTCATTTTGTGCAAATAGCTTTTAAGGCTGTTCTGCACCAGCCCTTGAAGCTCATCCGGGAGATTCTGGTGAACCAGACGTCCCACATGCTGGCCTGCTACCGGAAGAACTGCGCGAGCCCGTCCGCCGCCAGCCAGGTGAGGCCTCCTGTGCGCGGGCCAGGGTCCGGGCTGAGCTGGGTGTCCGGGCGTGTGGTGGTCCAGGCCAAGACCGGGGATGGCACCGGGCCCGTGCTCTGCAGCCAGCGCTGACAACCTGGCGGGAGAGGTGCCCTCGGGCTGGCGGGCCGCGCTGTGGGACGGGCTGTGCGCAGGCCCTGTCGTGAGAGCAGACTGTCCCTGCCTGTGCAGGTGGGAACGCGGCTGACGTGTGTGCTCAGGTACTTTCCAGATGTATTAACACAGGTGACATGAGCTAATGGCAGTAGTGGGACGGGCTGTGCGCAGGCCCTGTCGTGAGAGCAGACTGTCCCTGCCTGTGCAGGTGGGAACGCGGCTGACGTGTGTGCTCAGGTACTTTCCAGATGTATTAACACAGGTGACATGAGCTAATGGCAGTAGTGGGACGGGCTGTGCGCAGGCCCTGTCGTGAGAGCAGACTGTCCCTGCCTGTGCAGGTGGGAACACGGCTGACGTGTGTGCTCAGGTACTTTCCAGATGTATTAACACAGGTGACATGAGCTAATGGCAGTAGTGGGACGGGCTGTGCGCAGGCCCTGTCGTGAGAGCAGACTGTCCCTGCCTGTGCAGGTGGGGACTCGGCTGACGTGTGTGCTCAGGTACTTTCCAGATGTATTAACAAAGGTGACATGAGCTAATGGCAGTAGTGGGACGGGCTGTGCGCAGGCCCTGTCGTGAGAGCAGACTGTCCCTGCCTGTGCAGCTGGGGACTCGGCTGACGTGTGTGCTCAGGTACTTTCCAGATGTATTAACACAGGTGACATGAGCTAATGGCAGTAGTGGGACGGGCTGTGCGCAGGCCCTGTCGTGAGAGCAGACTGTCCCTGCCTGTGCAGGTGGGAACGCGGCTGACGTGTGTGCTCAGGTACTTTCCAGATGTATTAACACAGGTGACATGAGCTAATGGCAGTAATGAGTTCTTCACATTTTATAAACAAATCTAATGTACAGATTGGAGTTCTTCACACTTTGACGTTTAGCGGGTATGAAGAGTTTAGAAAGCAGTGTCTCTGGCTCTGGATCACAGCCTCCCTGGCTGGGAGAGTAATCCAGCACGTGTCAGATTAGAAGACCTACGGCAGAGAAACGGTTGCCGGGATTGTGTGTTCTCATACGGAGACCCGCATACTTGACCGTCTTTGGTTTCCCGAGAGGTTCGAGTTGAGGGAGGGACCACCTCCAGTAGCGCTGTTCTGAAACAGGCGGGAGGTTCCCGAACCTTCCGGTCACCAGGCCAGCGGGAGACCAGCCTCCTGAAGGGGTGACATCGACAAGCAAGCCCAGCAGGGCCCTGAGGGAGGTTCTCTTTCCAGTGTGGATTCTGACGGGGGTCTGTTCTCTTTCATCATTAAGATGGAAAGCTAAGAAATCATGAATGTGTAGAGCAGGTCTTTCCATTTGCAAATTCTCATCATCTGCTGGATGTACTTTCTCCTCTGGGTGTTTCCTTGTCCAGTGACCCACCAACCAGAAGGAAGTAGCACTCTGATCAGTCTTGAGTCTTGGCCATTTCTATAAAATTGAGTTGGGAGGTCAAACATCTGAAATGCGTGCCTCTCTTTCAGCTCATTTTGCCGGACTCCATGAAGGTGCTGCCCGTGTACATGAACTCTTTGCTGAAGAACAGCGTCCTGCTCAGCCGGCCCGAGATCCCGATGGACGAGCGGGCGTACCAGAGGCAGCTGGTCATGACCATGGGCGTGGCCGACTCGCAGCTCTTCTTCTACCCACAGCTCCTGCCCATAGTGAGCACGCGTGTCGGGATGTGTGGGGCTGAGAGCGGGGGCTCCCTGAGCGCGCACACGCGTGTCGGGATGTGTGGGGCTGAGGGCGGGGGCTCCCTGAGCGAGCACACGCGTGTTGGGATGTGTGGGGCTGAGGGCGGGGGCTCCCTGAGCGAGCACACGCGTGTCGGGCTCGGGATGGGGGCTGGGAGTCCCCACTCCCCTGAGTGCAGACGGTCGCTGTCCTTCCTCATCCCCGCTGCAGCCGGGCGGGCGGCTGGAGAGTGAGGGGCGCTCCAGAGGGGGCCAGCTCCAGGGGCGGAAGAGCCCTAGGGCATGAGGACCGCGGGTGCGTGTGGGTCCCGTGTGCATGCGTGTGTCCATTTGCACGCGGCGTGACTGTCTCGGAGGCACCACGTCCCGTCCGAACGCTCTGGGTAGTCTTGACCAGGCAGTGTGCTGGCGAGTCGTGGGCAGGACGCCTGCCTCAGCGCGCCGGGCGGAGCGTCCTGGTCGTGAGGTCGGCTAGCGGCTCAGACGCCTACTCTGTACCTAACAGGTTCAGGCTCAGACTAGGAGCGGAGCAGGGAGGCCGGTAGCATCTGTCTAGCCCTGTCCCTCATGCTCAGGCCGGCTCTGGGGGACAGCGCAGTTACAGGACAGTCAGCTCGGAAACGGGAGGCTGTCGGTTCTCTCAGTCAGTGTGAATGATCACAGATCATTGCTTTCCCCATAAAACTGGGTCCTCGAGGTTCTGTGGGCAGAGGAAGTAGCGCCCTAAGGGCCGAGGACAGCACCCCGGTCTCCTCCAGCACTGTCACCGGGACCTGGGGCCGGCTCCTGTGGGCAGCTCTCCTGTTTTCTGACCTGTCCGCAGCCTCACATCATTGGCTTCTCCCTACTTCATGGGTTCTCCTTGGGTCTCCCCAAAAGCTGCCTTCTCAACAAGCCTTCCTGGACTCTGCCCCGCTGAGGGTTGTACCCCCATCGCACCAACATGCCCTGTCCCACTCCTGTGTGTGTCCTCACAGCACCTAATGCCATCTAGCGTCCTACACGTTTATTCATCTGTGGTCTCTTCTCCAAAACACCCTTAGCTGTACAGGGAGGGGTCATCGTCCAAAGCCAGGAACAATGGCTGGCAGGGCGAAGGCACTCATAAATACCAGGGAGGAGAGGGAGCAGGGGGAGGGGCAGGGGGGAGGAGGAGGGAGTGGGGAGGGGCAGGGGGGAGGGGGGGGAGCAGGCAGGAGCAGGGGAGGGGGAGGATGGTCTCTGGGCTTCCTGACTCTGGCCTTGTCTGCAGCACACAGTAGATGTCAAGAGCACAGCAATACCTGCCGCCGTCCGCTGCTCCGAGTCCCGTCTCTCGGAAGAAGGCATCTTCCTCCTCGCTAACGGTCTGAACATGTTCCTGTGGCTGGGAGTCAGCAGCCCGCCAGAACTCATCCAGGGCATATTCAATGTGCCGTCTTTGGCACATGTCAGCGCGGACATGGTAGGTGTTTTTCATTGACCCATGGTGAATATCCAAAGCACATTTTAAAGGAATTAAAAGTGCCCTGTCCCAGCGAGAGGCCAGTTCCAAGACGAGGGAGATTTAGAGATTTAGAGATGGTGACATGTCTGCATGTGGTTGAAATTAAGGAATGATTAGAAATGCAATTTTTTTTAAAGGAAAAATGCAATTTTTAAAAAACTAAAAGATAATTCATCTGAGTCTCAAGAATGTTCATGTGAAAATGAAGGCTGTGTCCTCCACTTTCCCCGCGTGCTGGTGAAGTCAGTGTTGGTGCCTGACCGCCGGTGAGTGTGCACACGGAGAGCCAGCCCCTGCCGCAGAGCGGCGCTCGGAGGCCGGGCTCCTGCCCACGCGCCTCTTCCCAGCTTCTTCGGAAACAAGAGAGAACACTCGAGGTCGCTCCTCTGTGGAGGCAGGGCACTTCGAGCCAGTACACGAGTGCACTGCTGTGTGTGACTAGTTAGTCAAAGGGTCACCTGGATGTGCAGAGCACCAGGAAGAGAGGGCACGTAAATGAATACACGTGACACGTTTCTGCTTCTGCACAGCCACCGTGAGACACGTGGCCACGATCGTTTGCCAAGACGTGTGATTGTGATGAGTGTTCAAACTCACCTTTTCAGCAGCCGACTTCAGATGACGTGTTAACTCTTTGTGGCTTCTGGCTGAAAAGTCAGCCTTGGCATTTTTCCTTTTATTGATTTTAGAGAGAGAGGGAGAAGGAGAGAGAGAGATAGAAACATCGATGAGAGAGAACATCGATTGGCTGCCTCCTGCATGCCCCCCACTGGGGATCGGGCCCACAACCCTGGCATGTGCCCTGACCGGGAATCGAACCAGTGACCTCTTGGTGCAGGGTCGACGCTCAACCACTGAGCCACACCAGCCGGGCAAAGTCAGCCTTAGCATTTTTCTCTATCTACTGGATGGAACTAAGGCTAGATCCTCACGTCGCCAGGCTGTGTGCAGCTGAACCGTTAACCAGGTTTCAGGGACCTGAGTGGCCACACTGCTCTGGAGAAATCAGCTTTTGGTTCTAATGTGGAACAGTGGTACTCGGCGGGCAGTTTCCAAACCTCCTAGTGCCCAGGGCCCTGCCGCGGTCACTGAAGGAGCGGAGCGTCCTCTCCGCTCGCAGCACAGCCTGAGATGCCCGTCTGGGGAGCGGACTGAGCACCTGGCAAGGGCCCCGGGACCTGGTCGCGTAAACACAGCCACTGCGTGACAGTGGGCACGGCGGAGCCCAGCGCTCGCTGGAGGACAGGGCTGCCCGTAGGAATGACTCATTCTAGTGCACTGGTCCATGTCTTTGATGTGCAGGTAAATGAACTGAGTCAATAGTCAGATATGTGGTTTAGAAGGATGTTTTTTAACTATTAACATTCTAGGAGTCGCGTTGTTGCTTCTCCCTAAAGTTAGAGATTGTACTAAGACGCTGGTTTTCTCGTTTCAGACGGTGCTGCCTGAGTTGGGGAGCCCGTACTCTCAGACCCTCAGGATGATCATGGGGATTGTCCAGCACAAGAGGCCATACTCGATGAAGGTAAGGAGGTTCCAGTTCTTCATTTGTTTTCTGGGTTTCATTACAGACTTTTAAAATGCATGTCCTACGTTTTTATGGGGTAGAAAATTCAAAGGAACCTCTAAGTGCTTCTCCCTACCCACGACGCACACACTTGCAAAGTCAGCGGCGCCCCTCGGGCCAGCCTTATGGCTTAGGAAGCGCTGACGCGTCCTCCAGACGCCTGTGGCTGGTAGCAGTGGGGTCGTCAGCGGACCTGGAATGACTCCTTCAGTGCGTAGAATCTGAATTTTCGAAGTACCACTCAGAACATGCGTAGAACTTTATTTTTACAACTTCAGATGTGCGATCTCTGACACGTTTCGTTATCCTGGCCCTTCTGAGCCCTGTAAGCCTCTGAGTCTGAGAACTGAAATGTCCCCGATCCGGAAGCTGCCTTGTCGCCGAGTCCCGGCGGCCCGTCTTCCTCTCAAGCCCAGTGGCAGCCGGACTGGGGTGCACGGGGAGGGTGCCTGTCCCTCGAGGGCAGGGCACTCACCCGGCGGCAGCCTCCTGCAGGGGGCCAGGGTGTGCCAGCCCCCCCACTGCAGCGTGGGGTCAGCCCATCCACACCCACACCTGCGAAGGCACGCACGCACACACGCACGCACCACGCACCACGCACCACGCGTCCCCCAGGCGCCCAGTGAGCTGCAGCGGAGAGCCGTGTGAACCCCGGGGCAGGTGCGCACAGAACCTTCCAGAGCGGGCGTCACCCCACAGCCCGGCTCGTTCCTCTGAGAGCAAGGCCTGCAGTGGCAGGGACGTCCCGCTCTGCGCACGGAGACTGAGGAGCCCGAGGGGCTCGGGTGGGGACAGGAAGGGCGCAGCAGCTGTGCGAAGCAGGGTTCCCACGCGCCCCTCGCAGGCACGTCTGTCTGGAGACCCCTCAGCCCCTCGGGGCACTCAGTATAAAGACCTTGGAAATCTGAGCTCCGCAGGTGTGGGAGCTGAAAGGCATCCAGGAGGTGCCCGGTCTGGCCCTCAGCTCCCGTCTCCACGTCACAGACGTGCACGTGGGCGCAGGGGCCCCGCGGTGTCGGTGCTCACGCGAGGCACCGCTGTAGGATGGGTGCCCCCGGCGGGCAGCATGCGCCTCCCCAGACGTTCTGTGGGCACTGCGGTCCTCGGGAACCCGAGCCTCAGACCCTCCCTCTGTCTCGTTCGGCCCGTCGCAGCCCGGCTGGGAGCAGGGCCTTGGCTGCGGGCCCCGGGACACCAGTCTCCACAGCGATGGTGTCACCTCCCAGTGCCCCCGAGCCCGGACATCCCGTGTCCACGTCCACTCGGAACTCACTGGGCGGCCTTGTGGTGGTGGCAGCTGGGGCTGCGTTGTTCCTGTCACAGGCCGAGCAGACGGCTGTGTGGACGACGCCCTGCTCCCAGGCACCAAGCCGGGGCAGCCACGGCGGGGCTGGGCTCTGCTGGCAAAGGAGCATCCCTTCCTGCTCCGGCTGGGGGCTGGGCTGCCGGCCCTCGGTGGTCCCCACGTGGCTGCAGCTCCACCAGCACCAGCTCTGACCACTCTGGTCACTTGGGTCCTGAAGCAGCAGTGAGGACGGGGCCAGTGGGGGCCGTCACGACGGGACTCCCTCCTGGGCTTCCCCCGTCCCCCGCAGCTCACCGTCCTGAAGTAGCACACGTAGCACCTAAGAATTTCTTTTTAATCATGATCCAAATGATTATTACTTCCACGTGTGGTCAGTGTGCGCCGTTAGGAAGGTTCCTCTTTCCCGCAGTGAGTGCTAGGACTCCTGTGTGTTCACGGGGCTGCTCGTGTCGGACAGCACAGCCCTCCCTCAGGACCCTTCTCCCCCCGTCTCCCTGTCCCCGCACCTGCGCTGCTCACGCAGACCCCGCTCGTCTCTTCCCCACCTGTCCCCTCACCTCAGGGTGTTCTCTGCTTCTGTGCTGCGGCCTTTGCTGGATCGCGTGGCCTACGAAGGCCCCCGCTCGGGATTCTGCCCCTGGTCCCTGAGCGCTCACCCCCGTCAGGAGCAGGTGCCGGGCCATGCCACGGGCAGTGTGGCACACGGCTTGTGCCCGCTAGGCAGCGCTCTGCTGAGCTCACTCTGGATGAGGGCACGGTGGTTCAGGTGACGCCGCAGCGTGGGGAATGGGTGCCATAACCAGCCGCCTTGTGTCTCCTAGCTCGTGATTGTGAAGCAGCGAGAACAGCCAGAGATGGTCTTCCGGCAGCTGCTGGTGGAGGACAAGGGGCTGGACGGGGGGCCGTCCTACGTGGACTTCCTGTGCTGCGTGCACAAGGCAGTCTGCCAGCTGCTGAACTGAGGCCGGGCGGGTGCTCGGGAGACCCGGGGCCGGGCTCTCCGGGTGCTGGACAGCAGTCTGCTCCGGGCCCTCGCTCCCTTCCGAACGGCGGTCCAGGCCGGCCTCACCCGCCGGCGCGGTGCTCAGGCGAATCCAGGGGCCGCGGCCCTTGGGGACCCGCCCGTCTCTGTCCGCACGGCCGTTCTCAGTCCACGAAGGCCCCGTTTACAGAACTGCAGACGCCTCCATTCCTTTCTCTGATAGACGTATAAATTATTTTTCAAAATGTATAGATTTGAGGTAAAAAGTTGTCTGGGTTCCTCTCCCATTTGCAGTGAGGGGAAAAAACTTAATTTTTACACTATATTTTTTAAATCATGTAATCCCACTAAACACATCTTTCAACTTGAGGTTTGCATAGCAGACTTTCAATGCCTCGCAGTCTGTTTGGTGGAACGTCTGTCTGCGGCGTCACGGTTGATGTTGTGCACAGCCCAGCTGTTTCCATCGGTTGTTTCTGTCCATACAACTGTCTTCATCGGCGCTCGACCAGCTCTGTACACTTTTGAAAGTTCTCCCTGTATATAATGATCTCGATCAGCATCAATAAACCCTTCGTACTGGCTCAGCAGGTAGACTCATGCTCAGGCGTCTGAGGTCACCGCAGGTCTGCGGAGGGGACACCGTCTCTGCCCTGGAAGCCCACCCCAGCGACAGACGGATCGTTAGGGTGCTGTGTTCAATCAGATGGAAACATGTTTCTCTATTAATAAAATAAGGGCCGAGATAAAAATGTAGATCATGTGTGTGAACGTGGAAAGGTAGCCTGAAGCTGCCCTTCCGCCCCGGGGGGGGTGCACCCCGAGGTTCCGAAGGCTCCCAGAAAGGCTAGTCGGAACCTTCCAGAAAAGGCCATGCTCGGGGAGAGCGGATATGTGGACTTGGGTTGCTGCCCGCACCAGAGGCGATGCCGACTCATCTGGTCACAAGATGCAAAGGGCTGGGAGGCCCCAGCGTCGTCTCAACAGTCGGCTCCGGCCCCTGCTCGAGACACCTGAGCAGCCCTCAGAACAGCGGGCCAGTCCCCGAGCTCCCCCTCCACGTGCTGTCTGTCCCCCTCTGCTTGACCACAGTCCCCGAGCTCCCCTCCACGTGCTGTCTGTCCCCCTCTGCTTGACCACAGTCCCCGAGCTCCCCTCCGCGTGCTGTCTGTCCCCCTCTGCTTGACCACAGTCCCCGAGCTCCCCTCCGCGTGCTGTCTGTCCCCCTCTGCTTGACCACAGTCCCCGAGCTCCCCTCCGCGTGCTGTCTGTCCCACTCTGCTTGACCACAGTCCCCGAGCTCCCCTCCGCGTGCTGTCTGTCCCCCTCTGCTTGACCACAGTCCCCGAGCTCCCCTCCACGTGCTGTCTGTCCCCCTCTGCTTGACCACAGTCCCCGAGCTTCCCTCCACGTGCTGTCTGTCCCCCTCTGCTTGACCACAGTCCCGAGCTCCCCTCCGCGTGCTGTCTGTCCCCCTCTGCTTGACCGCAGTGTCCAGGTGGTTCAAAGGCCAAGTCCCTGTCACGTCCCTTGTCCAGGCCGCGTCTCCCGCTCCCCAGCGTGTCCTCACCTCACAGGCAGGGTGTCCTAGCCCTGCACACTCAGCACACGGGGCCCAGGTGTGAGCCCTCGGGAAGCAGGTGAGGGGAGGGGCGGGGCGTCTGGCTGTCCTGTGGGGCGGGGGGCAGCGCACGCTGAGCAGGGGTCCCAGGGCGCGTCTCCTCCTGGCAGTGTTGTCAGAATTGTTCCCACTACAGACATGAAACGATTTCGTGAAAAGAATTTCCGATTCTAACACCTGTTAAAGAATGAGACTCGTTTGTTAAGCCAGCCTTGCTCATTGTGGGGTTTCCAGCTGCTGCGTCTCGTCCCTGAGGGCGGACCGTGTTGGAGAAGGCGGCTCTGGGCGCCTGTGGGGCGGACGGGTGTCTGCACGGGCTCTGGGCGCCTGTGGGGCGGACGGGTGTCTGCACACCTGGGGCCATGCGCGGGACTCCGCCCGCAGGTGTCCCTGGAACCAGGACAAGGGAGGCAGCCAGAGCGGCGGTGTCCCCGGCAGCTTCCGAGGCCACCCTGACCCACTTCCTGTCAGCGTCACCCCGAGGAGGCGGGGGGTTGAAATTCAGGGAGCAAGGTGGCTGGCAAACTCATTTTTCAGTGAGACGGTTGAAAAGTAAGCTCTGATCTTTTTTTGAAAATCAGTTTTAGAGGGAGGGAGAGAGGAAAGGCAGGAGACGGATTTGTCCCACTGAGTCACGCAGTCATCGGTTGGTTCTCGCGTGTGCCCTGACTGGAGACGGACCTCCAGCCTCGGAGCGTGGGACGCCGCCTAACCAGCTGCGCCCCCGCCAGGGCAGCACGCCGCCGTCCTGGCCGGCTCACCAGGCAGGAGGCTGGCTCTGGGCAGCGGCCCTCCTCAGCGCCGAGGCCGCACACCTGTGCAGAAGCGTCCTGAGGGGCGAGGACGGCGAAGGGCGGCAGACCCCTCCCTCGGGCGGTCACCTTGGCAGTGTGCCCAGCGCGAGCCGCTGAGCTGGCGTCTCCGAACACAACTGCCCGTGACTCCCATCCTCTGCTTTAGAGACAAGACAGACACCACCTGAGGGGCAGAGTGCTGCGGTTCTCTTCTGCCACAGACCTAACCTCTGCCTCCCCGCGGCCCAGGCGGGTGGTGCGGGCACGTCCCTGTGGGCACTGGCCCCATCTGCAGCCCACCCCCCAGCGCACGGGCACGTCCCTGTGGGCACTGGCCCCGTCTGCAGCCCACCCCCCAGCGCACAGGCACGTCCCTGTGGGCACTGGCCCCGTCTGCAGCCCACCCCCCAGCGCGCGGGCACGTCCCTGTGGGCACTGGCCCCGTCTGCAGCCCACCCCCAGCGCGCGGGCACGTCCCTGTGGGCACTGGCCCCGTCTGCAGCCCACCCCCCAGCGCACAGGCACGTCCCTGTGGGCACTGGCCCCGTCTGCAGCCCACCCCCCAGCGCGCGGGCACGTCCCTGTGGGCACTGGCCCCGTCTGCAGCCCACCCCCCAGCGCGCGGGCACGTCCCTGTGGGCACTGGCCCCGTCTGCAGCCCACCACCCAGCGCGTGGGCACGTCCCTGTGGGCACTGGCCCCGTCTGCAGCCCACCACCCAGCGCGCGGGCACGTCCCTGTGGGCACTGGCCCCGTCTGCAGCCCACCACCCAGCGCACAGGCACGTCCCTGTGGGCACTGGCCCCGTCTGCAGCCCACCACCCAGCGCGCGGGCACGTCCCTGTGGGCACTGGCCCCGTCTGCAGCCCACCACCCAGCGCGTGGGCACGTCCCTGTGGGCACTGGCCCCGTCTGCAGCCCACCACCCAGCGCGCGGGCACGTCCCTGTGGGCACTGGCCCCGTCTGCAGCCCACCCCCCAGCGCACAGGCACGTCCCTGTGGGCACTGGCCCCGTCTGCAGCCCACCACCCAGCGCGCGGGCACGTCCCTGTGGGCACTGGCCCCGTCTGCAGCCCACCACCCAGCGCGCGGGCACGTCCCTGTGGGCACTGGCCCCGTCTGCAGCCCACCACCCAGCGCACAGGCACGTCCCTGTGGGCACTGGCCCCGTCTGCAGCCCACCACCCAGCGCGCGGGCACGTCCCTGTGGGCACTGGCCCCGTCTGCAGCCCACCACCCAGCGTGTGGGCACGTCCCTGTGGGCACTGGCCCCGTCTGCAGCCCACCACCCAGCGCGCGGGCACGTCCCTGTGGGCACTGGCCCCGTCTGCAGCCCACCCCCCAGCGCACAGGCACGTCCCTGTGGGCACTGGCCCCGTCTGCAGCCCACCACCCAGCGCGCGGGGCACGTCCCTGTGGGCACTGGCCCCGTCTGCAGCCCACCACCCAGCGCGCGGTCACGTCCCTGTGGGCACTGGCCCCGTCTGCAGCCCACCACCCAGCGCGCGGGCACGTCCCTGTGGGCACTGGCCCCGTCTGCAGCCCACCACCCAGCGCGCGGGCACGTCCCTGTGGGCACTGGCCCCGTCTGCAGCTGACCACCTGTCCCGGTGGAGAGACAGCAAACTTGGTTACATGGTAGTTTTAGGGCAGAACTTAAAATAGGCACATAGCATTTAGCTAGCAGAGTTCATTTTAAGAAAACTCAAGTTCCATGAAAGGCAAACGTAGGGACTTCACGTGAACATCTCAGACTGACCTCTGTGGCGACCAGTAGCTGGAGCTGAGCAGGGATGCCCGCCTGACCCCCCATCAGGTCAGGTCTCCATGGCCCCGCGGTCAAGTCCAGCTACCGTTAAGGGCGCTGCGCTGCTCCCCCTCCGCGGCAGAGCCGAGGACGCCCACCCCAGTGGGAAAACGGCAGAGAGGAGACACACGGGAGAGCAAAGGGGCAGAAGCACAGGTCCCGCCCGGAACCTGCACGCTCACTCGCTGCTCCACTGACCGGTGTGCATGTGTGCTCAGCTGCCACACGCGCGTTCCCCTGCGCACCCTCCATCTCAGTCAGCGTGTTTGCAGAAAACGACCTAGTCTGACGTCTGTCAGCACCTGTCATACAGGCAGGGACTGGAACACATGCCCCCCGATCGTCTCAACATTGCCGGGTCCTGGGGAAGGGTCGCCGGGTCACCTCGCCCCAGGAGGTAGTTCTGCCCGTGCATTGCAGCCAGCAAGTGTCTACACCCGAGGTGACAACGGGCCCGAGAGCAGGCTGGGGTGGGCTCCATTTGCTGGACATGGTCCCTCTGGGAAGTCCTGGGTTTATCGCTTCACACTGACAATATATACTTGACACCCAGGCTAAGGTTCAGTCCCTGTCCCCAAACGTCACAGACGGCACTGCTAAGCCCTGCGTGGACCCCAGCGTGACAGGACCGTCCTAAGAAAGGCCTTGCTGGCGGGCAAAGGTTCGTTTTCAATCACTCACAAAGACGAGAAGCTCCACCTCAGAGGACTAGTGAGCCCGAGTCCCCCGGGGCCACTTCGCTGAGTCCGTTGCCGACTGCATTAAACATCAGTGACATCTGGAACTACGTACTCCAGGCCAGCCACTGAATCCAGGATGAGACCTTCACGGGTTTCAGAGTACGCTGCTGCATCTAACCGGAAGTAGTGACTCGGCGACTGTGATGGTGCAAGTATTTCAACAGCAGGAAAGGAACTACTCCTGCCGCGTGAGACTCGTCCCCGCGTCACCCCACATTCTTCCACAACTCCGTTAACTCAGTGGACTGTGGCGTCACTCACCTCTGGGGGGGAGCGAGGGAGTTTCAGCTTCCGCGCGCGGAGCTCAGGACTCGGGCTCTTCCCACAGCATCGGAGCAGCATGCCTCTGCCGCAGTGCCGGTCCGGTCCAGCTGGGGACACGGCCTGGCTGCCAATCCAGACCCCACGCCATCCCCGTGCCGACACCGCTCCTCGGGGCCGTCTGTGGGGACCACTCGGCCTCCCAACGGACGTCTCCACGGGGCCAACTGGTTCAGCGGAGTTTGGGTCTGGGATGCCCAGGTTCCAGCCTCCCCACCAGCTCCTCCCTCCCTGCGCCAGTGAGGCCCGGAGCCCCGTCTGGAGATGGCACAGGGAGAGAGGCTGCGCTGGCACAGTGACGTCTGGCCTGGAAGAGTCAGACCTGTAATCCTGTGCAATGCTAGCGATGCTCACCTGTGAGCTTTTAGAGCTTAGAGAAAACGTGGGGTCATTTCAGAATGACTGGCTTCCAGTAAGGAATCTGAGTGAAGCAACTATAAACTCCTTCCGTGGTGCCTAGATGGTTTCGTGAAAATGTGAGACTGTAAATGGAAAACTGACCAAAGGTCCGAAGAGGCCAAAGTAATGGGTTCGTGTTCACTGGAAACCTGTCCTCAGTGAATAGATTTTACTGTAAATATGGTGCGGAGACTGACTGACGGGAGGGAAACCAGTGACCAACTCCTTCCCGTTACAGATGCCTCGCGACACTGCCCACGCTGGGAATTCTAGGCCTGGCTTTTCCCCAACCACCACTCTTGTTCCTCTAAACATGGTGGTGTGGCTCCCTTCCACTGTCAGCCAGCAGAGGGCGCTCCTGGCCCCTCAGACCCGTGGCTCCCTTCCACTGTCAGCCAGCAGAGGGCGCTCCTGACCCCTCAGACCCGTGGCTCCCTTCCACTGTCAGCCCACGGGGGGCGCTCCTGACCCCTCAGACCCGTGGCTCCCTTCCACTGTCAGCCAGCAGAGGGCGCTCCTGACCCTTCAGACCCGTGGCTCCCTTCCACTGTCAGCCCACGGGGGGCGCTCCTGACCCCTCAGACCCGTGGCTCCCTTCCACTGTCAGCCAGCAGAGGGTGCTCCTGACCCCTCAGACCCGTGGCTCCCTTCCACTGTCAGCCAGCAGAGGGTGCTCCTGACCCCTCAGACCCGTGGCTCCCTTCCACTGTCAGCCAGCAGAGGGCGCTCCTGGCCCCTCAGACCCGTGGCTCCCTTCCACTGTCAGCCCACGGGGGGCGCTCCTGACCCCTCAGATGCCACACTGCTCCCAGGGCACCAGGCCAGGCGTGCACAGAATGGCAGGGTTCCCTAGCGGGGCCAGGGCGTGGACACACGCGAGTCCTGCGTGTGAGATGGGGCACTCCCTTGCGGTGTGTCTAAGGACCCATGCTGGGCAACTGGACAGCTCTCCATCTTCTTCGTTCCCAGGTCAACTTTGACCACTGTGTCTAGATGACCTGTCATTACTTAAGTTGGAAACACACCATCATTTCATAAAAGCACTGTGACACCTCAGGTCCTCTTCCTCTTCAAGGACCCGGGCCAGTGGCTTGTGGGCTCTGAAGGTCTCAGCCCTCGTGGGCGACTCGCCCGTCTTGGCGGAGTCCACAGCAGGAAGAACCTGCTCCCGGGGTGCGAGCCACTGAAGGAACCCAGACCGGGACAGGTCACCCCATCGGCCCTCCACGTGCAAACAACAGAAAGCAGACTCCCAAATTTCAGGTTTCATTAGAAAAATCATACACAAAATAAAGGTATTTATCAAGAGCAATAATGGTATCTCAGTCCTGAATTCATGTGAAGCATGAGTCCGGCACAGAGAACCAAAATGTCCCACGAGCCGACCAGCCGCGCCCGGCGCACGTCACCTGAGCAGCGGAGCTGCAGAGCCCAGCGTCCCCTTAGGGGAGGTGCCGGAGTCACCTGGTTCCTGTGAGAGGTTCAGGATGTGCCACTGCCTCACCCCGAGGACCTGCTCCCTGGTGCGGACCCTGGGACCCGGGGCCGCGTGTCTCTTGCTGCTTCAATGCTCCTTGTGCTGAGACCACTGGAGCTGGTCGAGCCCGAGGCCCCGACACGGTCCCGCCTGCTGCCCAGGGAGTGCGGCTGAGGGTCCACGGCGAGGCCACCGCGGTCCCGATGGGCGTCCGGTCGGCCTCCCGGCCCCTTCCTCCGCCCACCGCCGGGAGCTCCTCCTCCCAGCAGATTTCAATCTGGGAGGTGATTTCGTTCCAAGTCTTTCAATTTCCTCCAAAGCTGAATTATATCTGAGTGTAAGAATGAAAAAGACAAAGAAAAAGTCTCTTTTTTGTCGAGAAAACGTCAGAACCTACGAGAGCGTACGGCCTGTGGTCCGCGCTCCGCAGAGGCCCAGACAGCTGCTGGTGGTGACGGCAGGCCGGCCAGCGAGGCTTGGACGGTCTCTGTCCACTCAGCCACTTGACAGCAGCAGCCCGTCCCTCAGGACGCGGCCAGTCTCTGCACGTGAAGGCGTCCGTGCTGCTCCGTGCTGTCTGGTTGCACGCACGTGACGAAAGGCAGGGGGAGACCCTTATCCTGGACAGTGCGTGACAGCCACAGGGTCGGCTAAGCGAAGTGCAGGCTGGAACGCGGTCCTAAGCAAAGTCTCCCAGTGAAGTTCCAGCTACAGCGCAGACGGCGAAGGGGCCTTAACAGGACGGGGTCTCGCAGTTAGCGAGGTGGAAAGCCGCCGCGGTGTGCCCCGCCTCGGCCCCCCCGGAAGCCACCTCTCTCCCCTCGGAAGTTGGACCGGTTCCGCTCCCGTCCACGGCCGGCAGACGTTCCTCCTCTTCCTCCACCACGGGGAGCCCCGCCGCCCCGATCGGATTTAGACTTGGGAGGGGGTGACTTGGGCCGAAGTCTCTCGATCTCTTCTGTACACCCCGTCAGATAGGAATTGGGGGCGCTGAAGTAGGATGCGTACGTCTCTGCGTTGTAGTTGCTGTTTGTCAGCGTCGGTCCCACTGTGAGCCAGCCTGAAACGGAGGGAGGAAAGATGACCCACCCTCTCCATGCTCTGGGAGCTGTTCCCAGTCCCCGTGCACCCCCACGACGTCCCGTCCTGCCCACACGGACCTTGTCACAGAGCGCAAGGCACTTGGTCATGGCCATAAGCTTTCAAACAGTGAAATGTGTACCACTAAGGCCTTGCTCAGCTGGTGCAGACAGAGTAGACAGACGTCCAGGAGAAAGAATCAGAATCTAAGTGGGTGACAGGCCACAGCCGCAGAGGAAGCCACTGAACATGAGTCATGAAGAAAAACTGTTGTTGAGCAAAATCTTAGGGCTACTTATGCTCACCCCTGTAACGGGACAGAGTCCTGGCCTCTGCGTGATGCTACAGGCCGCTAGAATGATTAGTTACTAAACATGTAGAAACAGACTGGACATAATATTGAGAAAAGCACAAAATGATGACTACAATGATGTAAAAAGTCACATGCACAGGACTGGAAAGTGTATAAAAATGAAAATCATTCTTGGAGGTGGTGAGAATGAATGGTTTTTCCTGTTTAAAATTTTCTTCCACGTTGTTCGCTGACTTTTCAGTTATTAAAAGATCACCATTTTTCCATCTTTGCTTTTTCTTTCAAGTTTTTACTTCCTTAAAACAGCAGCTGCCACTGGAGATGGTTCCAGACTGAGGCGCTCGTTTGGGAGGACAGGCTAATGCTGGGAGGGACACGACCCTGACAACCACAGACGTGGACGTGGACAGTCCGACGACCACGGACGTGGACGTGGACAGTCTGACGACCACGGGTGTGGACGTGGACAGTCTGACAACCATGGATGTGGACAGTCTGACAGGCACAGCCCCTCAGCCAGGCCCGAGGAGCAGGAGACAGGACATGGGACAGGGAGCGAACAGTAAGGGGCTGAGGTTATGCCCAAATATATCCGGAAACTAAGGTCAATAATGCTACTATAACTCCAACTTTTCTGATTTCTTATAAAACGGAGACTGTCTTAAACAAATAAGATTCTGGCTCTTTCCATTTTCAAAACTCATTTCCAGCATGGGAGGGCCGAACAGACTGCCTTTCTGGACCGTGTGAGGTGAGGCATGTTCTGGAAACAGTTACTTTTACATCCTGAGAAACGAAAGCGGAACAGATTGTATTCTAACCCTTGTAAATGAAAGCTGTGCCTTTAACAGACACTCTTGGTCCGTACGAGCCCAGCTGTTCTCTAGTCTTTTGTAAAACAGCAAGTCCACACACAGTGAGTTAGTCGAGTGTGGACAGATGCCATCGCCACGCGCGTGAGGACACCAGTCAGGTGCTTCCGTGTCTGATAAAGGCAGGCCCGTGTCACACGAGGGTGTGTCCTGCCGGGCTCTGCCATCCTCTATGCTCTCCACACGACACCAGTCTGCACGATCCGAGCGCTGGGCAGGAGGAAGTGAGCAACAGTCTGCCTCCCACGAGACTGTGCTCGAGACTGAACGTGTGGCCAACTGAACCTAGTCTGGGGAGGTAAGGATGTGGAGAAGCAGAAGACCTGGAGAGGAGGAGTGGGGAGGGCCTGGCTGCTCGAGGCCAGGCTGTGACGGAGGACCAGATGAGCCTGGCACACCTGCGGCACAGCAGGCGAGCGACACACGCCCAAGCACCTTACTTCACACGCACCGCCTGGTGCTCCCTGACGCCTGCACCCCACGGAACCACAAAGCTCTCTTGTGTTTGCCTGGGGTCCTACCTGGTCGAATGGTACTATCTCTTCCAAACAGATGAAGGCGTCTTCTACCGAGACAAAAGTGTTCAATGATGTGAAAAATTTCTACAGGCTTCTCTATATTGCCGATTTCTGGTTCTTCCGTGATGATCAGGTCGATGTCCACGTTGGCGTGAATGAAGTCCCCGTCGGTGCTACGCTTCACGGTCCCTTTGATCCCCATAAGGCAGTGCTCCTAAATGACAGCGAGAGGGGACCAGTTACAGTCACCACCTTGCACACCTGTGAGGTCCCCAGCTCCAAAACGGCCTCCTCCTCCGAGTCTGGGACAGCGCCCAGGCGACACCACAGGACGCCTGGTTGCTGGGGCGGGCAGGGCTGCCAGAGGAGCCACACGCGAGGGCGCCGGGCGCGGCCCACGTTCAGAGTCAGCAGCCACGCAGCCTTCTTCCTCTGCAAACTCGGCCACCGCCTGTTGGCGCAGGTATGGAGGCGAGGACCGTGGCCTTCAAACCTTGAAATGATGTCATGCTGGGCCTACCAAGATCCAAGACCAGACGCTGTAAGCCGTGTGATATGGACACGCTACAAGCCGTGTGATATGGAGAGGGGACTTTAAACACGTAGCGCGCGTCGATGCGGAAAGCCCGCAATCCCGGTGCGCGGGCGGCTTGGGCTCCCTTCAAGGGGTTCCCGGACCGAGGACGCACGAGGAGCACTGCCCACTGCGGGCTCCCTGCGAGTGACACCGGAGACAGAGCTGCGAGGCTGACTCATGGTGCACATGCGGCGGGTCAGCACTCGGCCAGGGAAAGGAAGGAAACCGTGCCATCTGCCCAGACATGGCTGGACCTGGACGGCATTGTGCTCGGTGAGATCCATCAGACAGAACGGTAAACACCCCCTGGCATCACTTATATGTGGGATCTAAAAACAAAGTCGAAACGAAACAGAAATAGTCTCCGACACAGGAGGAACTGGCGGCCCAGAGGGACGGGGTGGGGACGGGCACACGAGGGGGGATCCAGGAGTACACACCTCCAGCATGGAGAGCCTGGTCACTAACACTCCGTGACTTGCGCAGTGACAGAGGTAACTAGACTTGTGTGATCACTGCGTAATGAACATAAACATCGATCTCCAGGTTGTAGATCTGAAACTAACGTGGTGTTGAAAGCAGTTACACGTCAACAGACTTGGTTGTGTTACTCTGACACTCAGTGCCATTTGTACAAGTCTGAGAAGTGCACCTTTCCACCAGAATTAACTAAACAGTATACGCTTTTCTGGGAAATGATGGAAATCATTTGAGAAAAAAATGCCTGAGAGAATACAGTAAGAAGACGGACAAGCAGATGGCAGTACCTTTGTTCTCTGGAAGACAGCCTTGGGGTCTAAAGTCTTTGTCTTCCCAGGATTGTTTTTATTGGTTTTAATCCAACAAATATCTTCACACCTTCTGTAACCCCACTTGCGTAAACACTAGAAATGAAATAAAAAAATAATAATAATCCTTAGCTAAAAGAAATAAACAATGCCTAAAATAACCAATCAGCATTAAAAAAACGTTGAGGATTGAGACCCTCAATTCCAAGGCGTCACAGTAGTTGTTAGAGCAGATACAGAAGAAGGAATCCTAGTCTTTAATTACAGAGGATGCAGACAGGCCTCTTAGATACTAAATAATAAACAGGAAGGACTGGAACCCAGTCTGATGCGCCTCCCGCTGCCGTCAGCACGCAGGGTCCTCAGCCCCAGCGCTCGGCCCTGCAACCATCACGCTCAGGTCATCCGACTCCTCTGCCTCAACTTTCTTCCCACGGACACAGCGAGTAGCCACTGAAAACGTTCTTTTCAAATGACTCATATAAAATGTTAATTTTATAATACTACACCTCAGAAAATTCAGCCCTAAGATTATCATGCACATCTCTCTATTGGGTAAAAGCTGACTTTAATCGTTGGTAGTCTGGAAGACAGATCCGATCCTCGGGTCGAGAGCGTGTCCCTCACGAGCGGAGCACAGAGCCGGCTGCCATGCGCTCAGAGGGGCTGAGGGCCGAGCACCTGTGGGTGTGGGCTGGCTGCCGGGGGAGACACAGGAGACATGGTCCTGACCCCGCAGGTGTAAGAGCAAAGTGGGGACGTGACCTGTGCAGTAGAATCTTGCACATGTAAAAACACAGGTGAGCATAAAACATACTCCCTTTTCCAGAATGTTCCTGTTGTGAAAAGGGAGGTACACCTTCAAATGAACTTGGGGTTTAATATTTCAAAAGTCAAGGTCAGGATCTGTTCCCATCACACAGAATGTTCTGCACTGGGTGTCCCTCGAACCTCACAAGGGCCCCGGTCCTGCACCCTCACAACACCCAAAGCACCTGAATATTTCTCACACTCATCATTTCTGTCACCCTTCTTGCCCCAAATCTGCTCTCACCGACACGATAAAATGCTACATAAACACGTAAGATAAAGCCTCCTAAATCACTTTCCAGATATCAGAGGTAAAAAGGTAAATACCAGTGTACCCATAAAAGCAAGCAGTCTGTTCCTCTCTATTTCCATAGCTTTTCCATATCTTGGGGAGGTGCCGGCAAAACACCGATACCCACTGGTACAGTTAGTCTTACTTTGGAGTCAATAAATGACAGGGCAATGACACCAGCCAACAATCTCAAACTTGCTAGTTATACAAAAAAATACAAGGTAATTGTAGAATCTCAGAAACTGAGCGCAAACATATCCCAATATAGTCCTACTTAAATTCTTCGCCTGTTAAATGGACAGCTCCCAAAATGAGCAGGATTAAATGACATCATTTGTTATTTAACAAGGGATATATCCTACAAATGGAAAGTGTCCTCCAGTAGCAAGTGAGGAGCCTGAAACCCGGGAGGAAGAGTTTCTCTACCCAAAGACTCACTGTGGGCAGCAGAGCAGACCAACGGAACGGGCCCGACACCTCGCTGGCTCCCATCGTTCATTCTGGGATAGAAAGCCTGCTATTTACTTTCCACTCAGAATCTAAAAGACTCCGATCACACAAAAGAAAAGCTCTGAAATACATTTAAATATAAGGAACTAAAATAAACCGAGGTGTTGCAACTTCCTCGTAACTCATTCACTTATTCAGTCTGTGTCCCAGATGCTGAGCTATTTTCCCGACTTGATTAGACTCTCATCTGGATCAGGAGTCGATGGCGTTCAGCTCCTCGTGAGCAGCCAAGGACACCGGGCAGCTCGTCTAGAGACGTGGGTTAGGTTTAACTCTCTACCTGACATTTTGATTCATCCCTGGTACCAGTTAACTAAGGGTGGGTACTGCCTTTCATACACTCTTTTCTGAATGTTTTTTTCTTAATACTTAAAACCATTCATGAAACAAAAGACAAAACATCGTTCTTCAAACTTCTAAAGCAGTGTATGGCGTCAGCTTTCCTGGGAGCTGAAAAGCACTGTGCGAAGCAGGCTTACCACTCTCCCCAGGTCCAGCCCCTCGCCGGAGCCGCACCAGAGGAAGATGAAGGAGCGCGGCGCTGCGATCTCGTCGATCTCCAGCTTCATGATCTGTGAGAGCAGACGGCCGCTCACAGCTGTTCCCAGGCCGAGAACAGCCCTGCGGCCAGGGCTCCAGCTGTGCTGGGCGCGTGCCGAGTCGAATCAGGACACAGAATGGAAACAAGTGATCCTTCCACTTCTGCTCTGTTTCCTCAGACGTCGCATCAGTGCACACACAAGTGCACACATCGACTCGCACGTGGAAAGGGGCTACAGGAAGTCCTGTTTGTAGACTTTTATAAGATGTAGTTTGAGAACAACTCTTTAACATTGATAGAAAAAGAAGCTGAGATGAAGACAGGTTAAATTACCCCAAAGTTGGGGCAAAACTAAAATGAACTGTAACGACATCCAAGTGCTGAGTCTCACGGATCTCTGGACCTGCAGCGCGAAGGTACACTGCCTCCCACAGAGTGGCGTCAGCAAATATTGGTTATTTTTGTCACTGATAACATAGACTTTTTGTAATTAACTGAAGTTATCAGCTTGCTTACTTTTATTTAGGAAAATGCAGCTTGGCCACAACCGCTGTCTACTGAAATCACACATCCTCCTCGTGCGCTGCCCTGTCAGCTCCTTACAGAACAGAAGCTGTATCTACACGAGTTTATACTCTGACGTTCACCAGCACCGACCGGGTGCAGCGTGAGCCACCAGTGGACATGACTGACTTCTGACGCCTGACTTCTCTGGCTGTCCGTCCGAGCACCCAGGCTGGACGTGTGTGTCCCCGCAGATGCCACTCACTCACTCACTGCCTGAGCAACTTCTGCTCAAAAAGGGACTGTCACCCTTGGTCATCACCTTCACCTTCAGCCACAGGACACTACGACTCTGTATGTACGGTCCCTACAACAGCAGGGATGATACAACCTCGATTCACTTAGAAACAAAACGATCCACCGCGAGGCGGCAGGTTCACCGTACATCGTCCCACGTCCAGCACTTCTCGTTGGCGGTGATGCCGGTCTCGCGGTAATACTCTTCCAGGGGAGGTTCCAGAAGGATCACATCGAACTTGGGCGTCAGCTCCCTGATGTCAAAGGCTTCGATGTCCGCTTGTAAGTACCTATGAGTGAAGCGTGGACCGTGGGGAAGAGCCTCCAGGCCCCGGCTGCGGTGAGGGCCTCGCAGGGGTCCTGCACTGTTCCCCAAGCGGCCCTCGTGGACTGAGCGCCCCCGGGTGCGCATCCACAGAATACCCCACAAAGTGAGACCAGTCCCCATGCAGAGTACACCCAGAGTACAAAGTCCTCGTCTCACGTTGGAAACCCACGCTCAGCCAAGACTCTAGTCCCTTCCACTCCACCAATGCTCTAAGGAACGCCACGTTACTTGTTTCTCAACTGTTTAGTTTGGAAAAACTACTACTCTGTATATTTTAAATTCCTCCCTCCGAAAAATAGTTTCTAAATTGTGTTTTAAAAATATTAACAGTCTTTTCCAGACACCCAGTATAAAGGATCACTAATCTTTACTGAAAGGTTATCCCCATAAAGTCTGAAAGTTATTTTGAATATAAAATATGTAAATATAAAAAACTTTAAATGTAAGTCTTTTTACATAGGATGAGTATTAGCGTATGCTAACATCTCCCCACAGACTCAGACTTCTCTGTGGCAGTTCTCATTAACAGGAAACATCTGATTGTTAAACGTACAAAATAACCAATGTTCCAAGTAAACTAAGTGTGAAATAAATGGATTCTCCGATTTCAAAGACCTTATCCACATTTTTAAGGAAAAGTATTATTCAGTTTAGCAAACGTTAAAATGAATGACTGTGTCCCAGAAATGTTAACAGTAGCCCTGGAGGCTGAGTTTTAATTAATTTTCATTTTCTTCATCTAAGTTTTCTAAACATTCTTCAATAAATAACTTTTTGAGAAGAGATGCTATTTAAAAACATTTTAAATAAACTCAAGAACACAATAAATGTCAATGACTTTCTAAGAAAAAAGTATTTAAAGATATTTTGAAGAAATTATCTGAAAAATGGAAAACCAATTAAACGAGCACCTACTGTGTACTAAGCCCTGGAGTCTCAAAGTCATATCTTTCACTACGAAGAAGAAATGATAATCGTGTGACCGTGCATGGTGCTGAGTCATGTCCCGACAGTAGGGTCACCAGACAAGAGGCTGGCGTTCAAGCCAGGTGGGGACACAGCAGGGGGACCACTTACATGGGAGGACTGTTCGATTTAGCTATCAGCTCGTCCTTCAGCCTGATGAGCTCCCTCAGCTTGGGGTATTCTTCAAATCTGTCGGCCAAACCTGCGAAAACAGCAATTTCAATACACGTGAAGTTAATATTAGAGAATTTAAAAGTTATGATCAGCCCTCCCAAGAAAACAGAACACACACACACCTCACTTTACTCTCACGTCTTTTTAAGAAAGCTAATTTTGAGCACTTTAAACATTTCGTACACATATTTTGTATCTAATGATCCTCACTCCATAGGCAGATAAAAACCCAGATGTTCCGAAGCCAAGTCTGAGTCACCAAACCATTTATTTCTCATATTTAGTAAGTCAACAATCTATTCATAACACCCAGGTTCACCACTCTCTTCTCAGGAAAGGGAAGAGCAACTGCCTCTCTCCTGCTTCCCCCTTTCTTCTGGACAAGATATATACAATGTTCGTCCTAAAGAATCTAGTGAAGACGAGTATCCTTCACTCATTATAACCGGGAAAGGAGGAGACAAAGAACAGCAGAGACGAGGAACCGCTGCTGACCTTGAGGGAATGGGCTGTGCCTGGTGAACAAATCCCAGGACAAGTCCAGTTAGAATTAGTCCCTGGTTAGAAATCATCACAGCAAACAAATTACACGCATGTAAGCGAGAGTCAGGAACGCACAGTCCCGGCGAGTCTGACATACCTACGTCCCTGATGAAGTTCTGAGGTCTGTGTCCAGTGTCCACGAAGTGCTGGCAGTAATCGTTATGGGGGTTCAAGCTCTGCGTTCCCTGGAGAGAGAACCGAAACTAAATCACCAGCACTGACCACTGACTCTGCACTTTGTTTCCACTGTGAGGCCGTGTAAGGTACAAGTTGATTGACACAGACTAAAAGACCACAACTAAAATTATAGTATTTCTCTGCAGTAGCTACAGACACTAACACATCATCTCCTCCTGAACAGCCAAGGATCAGAAAACTATCTCATGAGTAATTTTAAATGATCTTTATTTTATAGTGACGATTCCTTAGTAACTAAAAACATCTTGAAAACCAGCAGGTGTCTGAGCCCCCGCAGCCCGGGGCTGAGGTGGGAGGAGCCGGGAGGTCTGGGGCCGCTGGCTCACCTTGAGGAAAGTGCTGGAGTCTTTGTAAATCTCTTCCTCGTAGGGAAGGTTCCCGTCCTCCTGCGGCATCTCCGGCTCATCCTGGAAAAGGGGCGCAGCAGACATCTTACGCACGGGCACTGTACATATTATGGTGTCTTGATTAAGACTCAACATACATATTTTATTTCCCTACTGGATAATAAAATGTTCAAATTATCATTAAAGTCAAACATTAAAATCTTTGCTTGCTCATCATTAGATCTAACAGTTTATTATTTGCACAAGAAGATAAACATTTTCATTAATGATAGTCTGTAACTACAGTTTTGTTGACCAAAATTTCTAGAATTATTTAATCTTAAAAATAAAACTATAAATATTAAAATTTAGCTTGAATCAAGATATAATCACCAATTGGCCACTTTCACTTTTACTTCTATTAGATTGAAGCATATAAAAGTATTTCAAGTCAAAACTGTCTGAGTATTGGGGATGATATATGGTTTGATCTAAAACAATCACAAATATTTAAGCTACATATTAGCATATATCAGAAAGAAACAAGACAGGATTCATAAGATCAGGTGCTTATATCACCGAAGTACCTAGAGTCACTGAAACTATGCATTCTCTTCTCTATTAAATATAGTTGTACAACAATTAACTTTAAAAAATGAAGACAGATTTTTTTTACATTCTATTTTCTTTTCAACGAAATACTGCGATTACAATTGAGAAGTCGGATTTTCCCCGGCCTCTTTCGGAATGGTCCTGCCCTGGTCCAGCCCCGAGCCCTCACCGTACTTCACTGTCCTGCCCCTCACTGTCAACACCGACTGACACAAATCAAAGAGGACAGTGCTGCGGCCTTTCGAAATCTGACCCAGTCGCCTGGTGCCCGGCACACTCCCCTCCTCGCTGTCAGCTCAGGTCACCGCCCAGTGGACGCAGGCACGGTGCTGAGTGCGTCCTGCACCTCACCTAGTTTCATCCACACCCTTGTGTTAAAATGAGGAAAGTGACATAAGGTCCTGATTTAACTGACCCTACACGTGCTTGGACGCACGTTATATCTGTGACAATTATCTGGGACAATGCACTGCTCAGCTCTCTGTCACACTGGTTTTCTTCAGTAAGAATCTGTTACTGTGAAGGACTTTCCCCGACAATGAACTTGCCCGTTCTCCACTTGCCTTATATTCTTCCATTTTGTCTTCGTCTGTATCTCCTTCATCCTGACACTTTCGCTTTGCATTTGGAGCAGAGGTATCGTAGGACGCCCTGAAAATTAAAACTGAAGTATCACAGACAAGTACATACAAGATGTATAAATGCAGCTACTCATAGCACTAAATAACAGATAATGAAAACAGAATAGAGCAAATTTTCCTGATTAAACAGTATCTATTCACCCAGTTTATAAATCATCTGAAAAGTCACACAGCCGATTGGTGATTCTGTGCTGTTTTCACGGGGAAGCAACCAGAAGAGAAAATGAGCTGTTACAGGGACATCAGGCGAGAAGCAAGGCTCCTGTTAGGTGCCACTCTAACCTGTCTGATAGCAAAACAAATGCTCAGATTGGTAACTAGAACACTGAAAAATTCCGAAACGCCTTGTGAACTAGCAAATGATTATCACTTTTAGGGTAAAATTTGTTTCCTTTTATAAGAACTTAAAAAGTATAATTATTTATTTACGGTGTATCAGCCAATCCTTAGTGTAGCATTCCATTTCTTAACTACTAGATGAGCAGTTACTATCGTTAGAAAAGAAATATGTCATCATTCATGAACTAACAATAAAGCCAAGGGTTCTGAAATCTTTATCTTGGTGCTTCTACAACAACACACTTCACACCAGGGATTATCTGCTCACTGAAACACCGATCCTCTGACAGTGTTAACACGCAGTAACAGCAAACCCTCCGGCGACCTGCAGGCCTGCCTGGTCTCCGCTATCTCCCGCTGCTCCTCCTTGCTGTTCAACACGGTCCCGATGCTGTCCGCACTTTCCGCTCCCAGCTGAGGACACAGAACCAGGGATGACATCACATTTTAGGCTTTTAGTTACATTTGAAATTAAGACACCTAACCTTGCCAATCTCGCCTTTTAAAGTAAATAAAACGTGATTTGTTCATAGTGCAATAACGAGAAAAGCTAACAGAGGGTAGCGTGGTCGGCACTATGGTGAGCATTTTGCATCCATCACCTCACATGTTACACCTTATTTATCCCAGGCTCTAATAAAAATGTATTAACTTTTATTCAAGCTGAGTCTTTATATAATGATTATAGGCGCAGTACTGAACTTTACTAATTCCTTAAAGAGGGTAATGCAAACTCTGGCTGGCAGTTGGGGAATCTTTGCAAAATACAACAAATGTAAACAAATTGAAAGGCTGCTGGGTAGTGGGACCAGCTCACAGAAACCTTTGAGAACCAGACGCAGGAGTGCAGAACGGACAGGCCGTGAGGAGCCATCTGTTCTTGTGCACAAGAAGGGCATGAGGAGACCTGTATTAGAGTCGCTTTGGCCAGGAAAGGGGGAAGGCACACTAACATACCAGAGCTGCCAGTCCTCGGCCTGACCTCGACCAATCATGACTGTTTAGTCTGCCCACTGCACGACTCCCCTCAAGTCTCTCCAGGGATAAAGCTTTCCTACAGATCTGTTCCTGGAATTCTTACTGTCCACAAGACCCCCAGACCCCATTCTCCTTACGCAGGAGAAGCAGCCCCTTCCCATGGAAGAAAGCTGGAAAGCTTCTTACCCTCTCGTGATCCTTTTTCATACCCAGGTGAGAACGAGTGATTTCCTCAGCAGGTTCTCCACGAACACTGTATGTAGAGGAAGCGCCCCTCCCACGGTTCTCTGTACCTCCTTCCCTCATTTAGGTCATAGACCTTAATGCAACTTCCCGTGATTTTTACTTTTGTTTGCTCCCGATCTATATTGTTTCACAGTCTCTATCACAACTTCCAGTTATTTTGTCTACTTCAATTATTTTATCAGTTTACGTCTCCGGCACTGAAAGGTAACCACCCCGGGAGGCAGAGCTGTCTGTTGGGAGCTGTATGTTCAGAGCAGTACAATGTCTGACTCACTGTACATGCTCAGTAAACATGTGAAGGAACCACTGGGATTTCCTACTAGGGCCTGTGTTAGGAAACTATGTATTGCACAGAAATGCTTTAAATCAAAATTCTGCTCACACATGTAATTGTCCTCGCATGCTCCAAGATTTTCTAGAGAAGCGTGGATTGACTGGATTAAGTAAAGACGTGCTGTCTGTCTGGTTCATGTAGAGAAAAGGTGAGAGAAACAGTGACACTAGAGGTGCAGTGAAGTCTGTCATGATGATATTGGACTTCCTGACTCGGGTGGATGGCTCCTATCTGACTAGGCAGCCAGGAGCACTTAGCTGCATTGGGAAAAGCACGGAAGGGCTTAAAACAGCAGCTTGCAAACTCCGGCTTTGTGGGTTGGAGCACGTAACTGAAATTCTTCGATCTTTATTTTCATCATCTATAAGATGCGTATCTGCACAATTGAAAATAATGTACATAAAAAGCTTAGCTGAGTCCAACACATAGAAGGGACTTAGTGTCAGCCATCAGATTTTATGCACCATGTTATGTTCTTTGAGGGTAGGGACTAGCTATCATTCATAGTTACATTGCTATGTCTACTAGAGCCCCTGGCACGTAGTAAGACACTCAACAAATAATTGTTCTATAATGTATTTTGAGTCAAACAGAGTTTGAATTCAAATTAAAGTGTAAGAACTTTACTTGGTGGCAACAAGAAGCTACTTGAAGATACATGCTAAAAGAAGTTCGGGAAAAGAAAGCTTAGAAAAGGTAACCTGATTTGTCCAAGATCATGCTACAGAGACAGGATCAGATATGATTCCAAATTCCCACATTTTAACACTGTATCCTAAGTCTTTTCATCAGATCATAAAAGAGAGGTTTCAGATTTCCCTGTACTCAAGCCAAGATTTACTACTGAAAAAAGTAACATTAAGATGCCTGTGAGCATCTCCGTCGCTTTTACTGATCTGAATGGTAGAAGGCAGAACACGGCCTGACTTGAGCAGAGATGTGCACCGCCCGCATTTCCTGCGTGCCTACTCGACTCATCCGCGAGTGTTAGCTTACACACTCATGCACAAGCAGTGAAGGCAAGCTTTGGAGAAATAAATCGGGTTCAGCCCTGGCCGGTTTGGCTCAGCAGTTGGAGCGTCGGCCTGCGGTACAGAGAGACCCGGGTTCGGTTCCCGCTAAGGGCACGTACCTCGGTTGCAGTTTGTCCCTGGCCCTGGTTGGTCGTGAGGGTGGCAGCCACTCGATGTGTCCCTTCACATTGATGTTTCTCTCTCTCTCTCTCTTCCTCTCTCTCCCTCCCGCTCTATCTGAACAAAAAATGGAAAAATGTCCTCAGGTGAGGATAAAAAAAAAAAAAAAAATTAGAGAAATAAATCGGGTTCAATGTTCTGGCATACCAGTGACTGACCCCAGGCCAAAGTTACTTAACGTCTAGAGCCTCCTCTCAGTGAAGACACTACTGCTTACATCAGGGGTTTGTGGTGACGCACCGTTTTGAATTCACATATTAACTGCGGGGGACGACGGGGATGCCGTCCACTGCACAATGGGCTGCAGGACACAAGGGTCAGAACCTAAAATGTACACTCAGGCTACTTGCAATGCAGTCTTTGGATAGGACTCCCCCCCAGATTCTGGAAACCTGTTTCAGAAGGAGGCCAGCATCTCGAGAGGCGGGTGCTGACGGCGGGGACAGGAGGGGCACAGGAGCATGCAAACGGCGAGGAGACGCGCAGGGGTGACAAGTCGCTTTCGCGCGCGTGGACGGCGGCCATGCGTCCACAGAGCGGAGCTGTGCACGCCCGCCACGGGGCTGCGGCCCGGAAACCTCGGGAAGCCGGGAGCTGAGCCCGGGACAGGTGGGCGCGGGCCGGGGTCAGGGTCGCGGGAGCAGACAGAGCAGAGCGGGAGGGGCGAGGGCGGCCGCGCACGCGCATTCGCGATCCCTCCCTGGGCCGCGGACCTGCTGGGCGAGGAGCTGTCGCCGTAGCTTCTGCCGCTCCCGAATCTCTTGCAAGCGGCTGTCCATGTCCCAGCGCTCGTTTTCCACAGCCCCGGAAACTTGGCAATGAGCGGATGAATCTCCGCCCGACTTGCCTTCCGAGTCCGCCAAACACAAGAATTGCCAGGAGATTCGGCCGGCGGGTACCTTTCACCCTTTCTTCCATGGGCATTTCCGGCGCGGCCGGAATTGGCTCTCCAGCCCGGAAGTCCCGCCTCCTCCTGGGCGCCGGAACTTGACGCTACGGGAAGCGGCCCAATGAGAGCCGCGGCGGCAGGGGCGGGGCCCCGGAGCCCCTCCCCTCCGGAGTCGCGGCGGCAGGGTCGGCATGGGCGGGGCCGTCGAGGGCGGGGCCGGCGTGGGCGGGGCCGGCGGCGGGCGTGTCGCCGGTCCTTTGCTGGCCCGTCGGACACCGTGGATGTATCGGCGCCGCTTCCAGGGTGTGCACCGACTTCCTGGTCCCCTTTCCGTCCATTCCCCAGTTGTCAGTCCTGACGTTTTAAAAGAATTGCCAGATACCAGGTTTTTTGTGTGTTTGTTTCTACAGTAAAGCACACTGGAGTCCGACGGCCAGGGTCGCACCGGGGCTCCGGTGACTCGGCGGCCTTGGCGGGCGAACCACCCCCGGAGGTCACGAGGGCGCCCTTCTCGCGGGAGGTGAGGGCGGAGCACGACTGCGCCGGGCGCATGCGCGGGCCGCGCTCGGGGGTTTGCCCGGAGCAGCGAGCGACGCCGCAGGTGTGCTCTTCCCCACACCTGCCAGCCCGGGGCTCAGGGTCCCTGCGGCCCGGGGAGCGGGCGCGTGCTAGCTCAGCGGGCCGAGTCGGAGGCCGGGGGACCCTTTCTGGGCTCCCGGCGTCTCGGCTGGTAGTAACCCCGGGGCGTGGCCGCGGGCGCCGGGGGACCTGGGGCGGGCGGGGCGGACGCAGCCGCCGGTGTTGCCGCGGTGCCCCCGCGCCTGCCGTCGCCTTCGGCTTCGGGGTCGGCGGTGGACCGCGACCGTCGCCTCCGGGCCGACTGCGAACCGTGCTGGTTCGCTCGACCTTCGTAGCAGGTGTTCTCCGAGGGCCTTTCCGTTTCGAAGGTGCAGAAGTACTAAGTCCCGGAGGCCAAGCCCGGCGCCAGCCAGGCCTCCGTGAGCAGGAAGAGGTTCCCAGGGTCGCGCCGTTTCCCCAGACGAGCTCAGAAGGCCGTTTCCGAAGAGGGGTTCCGAAGTCCGAGCGACGGCATCGTGCTGGGAGGGGGTTAGCTTCCCGGGCCGTGCTGGAAGGAGAATACTCACGTGTAATGGGCGTTAAACGCGTTTCCTGAACACTTGACACCCGCTCGGGGCACGGGCCAGGGCTGCGGGCTCGACCGCCAGCAGGGGGCGTGCGGGAGGCTGCGGGTCGATGGTTCTCATTGATGTTTCTATCCCGCTCTCTTTAAAAAATCAATAAAAAGAAAACCCGTATTTTAAAAAATCACTTCACCTGCCCGTCATGTAAGTTGAGTACTGATAGGAACTATTTTTCAGTGATGGGGATAGGCATTTGTTTGCTCAAATATTTAGTGATGTGTATTGAGCATGTTATATGGCAGTCACCGTGACACACGCTGCCTGGAGTCTGTCAAGTTCATAAAAGATCAAGACCAAATAAGTCGATTTTCTTTATTGAGTTAACACCTAAAGGAGGAACATGTTTTATTCCTAATAAAGCAGTGCCAGTGGGTTGCTGGTGGTCTTTGTGCCCCGGGTTCACCTGCATTGCCCTGTGATGGTCGATGGGCCGGGAGTCTGCAGGCCACACTTCCCAGCCTTCCTTGTCAGGTGGCTTCCAGTAACATTCCACCACGAGGAGGCACACGCAGGGAGTGGGAATGGGGCACATGGGAAACCGATGATTCATTTCTTTCACTCTGGCTCTTGGCATGCCGGGGAGTGCCTGTGTCCTTCACAAAACCCCAGAGCCCTTGCGGCAGCCCTTCCTTGGTGGTCCTGCCTTCCGGTCCCCACCCCCACGGGGTGCCCCCCCTCACGGGTTTGCTCTGGAGCTCTGGCCCTCACTCTGTTCTACCAGCTCCAGAACTGCAGCCAGGAGCTCCTGATTTAGTTTTATCCTTGTAAATAGTTCTCCATCGTAAACTGCTCCCTGTTTAAAATTCCTTAGATGGTTTCTGTTTTCGTGCCTGGAACCTGGACTGATAAGGACACAAATGAGTACTATCTTATGGTATTTACAAAGCCACGGAATGCAGCAGAGGGTGACCACAGTTCTCACAAAGACAGGGCTGTACCTCTGACCGTGTCTATCAGTAACAGTGAACTTGGTGCCATTAAAAAAATTACTCTGAGGAAAGCCCCTACTCTAGAAATCTGGATCAGAAAAATAGTGAAAACCATTTTTGTTCCTTTATACCTAATTACCAAAAACAATGGATTTAGTTGTATACATTCTTGAAAACATGACATATTGTAGCCAATGCAAATATTATACTTTTTACAATACTTGCAATTAAATTCGTAAATTTCAAAAACGATTTCAAATGAATATACAAAGGTAATCCTTATGTAAATGCTCAGAAAAAGATATTAAGTCCAAATTGTGGCTGAGATGCTCAGTCTGGTTCAGATGACAAACGAGTGCATCCCGCAAGTCGCTGTCCCTGCACCCTCACCCCAGCCTTCTCGGGGCGCAGCAGGTGTTCCCGGGCCAGTCACTGGGTGTGACAGTCCCCTGTGGTTAGAATGATCTCTGCTGTGTTCTCTCTCGTTCATTTATGGCTCAAATGTATAATAATGCATGTTGTTGGTCCTGGTGAGAGTCAGAGGGAAGAACAGCATTGGCCAGTGGCCACCAAAGCCTGGAAAGTTTTCCTGAAGGGCAAAGATTGGACATTTTCTCATCCCAGAGAGGAGCTGGATTCTCTGGTCCGCGGGCCGACGCTCTAACTGCGGAGCCAAACCGGCCAGGGCGAGGAGCTGGATTCTACCTTCAGTTTGCAACTGGAGTCGTTTTGCTCCTCCTCGAGAGGCTGAGCTTTGCGCGCAGCAGACGTGTCTCAGGCGGACCCGCGGTTTCACGCGGTCGTGCCGAGTGACTGCTCCGTCAGCGAACTAACTCAGGAAGCTGGGAGTCCAGCTGCACAGAAGCGCCCCCACGTCTGCGTGGGAGTCGAGACTGGCGGTTGCTCAAACAGGTGTCATGCTGGGAGGGCACGTGGTTCTGCAGGTGCACACACACACGTGCACATGTGTGTACACGCGAACAGTCAAGTTTGGAACAGCTTCTGTAAGATGTACAGGAACAGCCTTTGTATTTGGCCTGTCGAACAAGCAGGACATGTGCTGTTCATTCGTAAAGCAAATTCGTCCTTTCCCCCACGGCCCTCTCTGAGCCCCGCCCCTCGATGGAAACTGAAACGGTCTCCATGCTGTTCTGGCCGTCTTGACTATTAGAAACAGTTGTTTGGTTATCTAAGCTTCAGTCTCAGTGGAACAATCACAATATGAGGTTTGATCCTGGCTTTGGAGCCAAGGCCTCTCTCCCTGCCCGTCTCCAGGCGGGTCGCGGGCCTGGCGCTGGCAGCTGGGGAGGTGGAGGCAGGGGGTGCTGCTTCTGGAGCCTTCCTGCTGCCCCCGCTCCGTCTGAGTCTGGCCTCCGGGCCCCCAGCACTGGCGGGTGGGGACGAGTTCACATTCTTCCGTGTTATGGCTCAGCGCCGGGATCTGGACTTGCAGACATTGAAGTGGACTCTTAGGAGCGTGTCCGCGGGCTCTGTCATGACCCTCCTCACCCTCCCTTTGGGTCCCCCTGGCAAAGCTAAGAGGTCCTGGGCTTGATTTGTGACCATTCGCCGTTGCTGGCCAGCCTTCGGGGCATAACCCAGGAGGACCCTGTGCTGGCTTTTGACGCGAGCGGCCTGCATTCGCTGCAGGGAAAACCCTGCGTCTCAGACTCTGGGAGCTTACTGCTGGAGTTTGGGGAGACCGAGACCCCGTGACCAAGGGCCACCCACACAACCACATCACCCCTTCTCCCTGGGCCCCGAGCAAGGGCTGGCCGTTCTCCACCCCTCAGTTCTCCACACGGGACGTAAACACTCCTGTGTCCCTCAGACCTTAGGTTCTCCCGTGGTCCCCTTAAGCCTCCACTCTAGACTTAGGGGCAAGAGGGCCGCCCACCACCTACCTCTCTGCTGAGGGGGGAGCTGGCATCACACCCTATCAGCGGTGACCTCTGAATGTTTTCTTCTCCGATCTCTAGTTCCGAGTCGTTGAGACTTCAGAGCAGAAGTCGTTTCTGGAGCCTGCTTCCTGTGGCAGTCCCGTCGGCGCCGTGACCCTGACTTGTAAACGTTCCTTCGGAGTCCGAGCCGCAACTCCCGCAAGCCCGCTACACACCGAAGTGAAGGACGTCCTGTCAGTGTGGGAACCCGCACACCATTCCTAAACTGAACGTTTTATTCTGAGACAATGGTTGATTCTCATGCTGCTGTAAGAAATAACACAGCGCGCGCCGGGTACCCTCCCCCACCTGCCCGGGACGGACGCCCTGTGGGACTGGAATACAGGGTCGTGCCCAGGACCTCGGCGCTGCAGAAGGGAGGGTCCCATCACCACAGGGCCCTCGTGCTGCCCTTGGAAACCGCGCTCATCTCCTCCTCGACACTCCTGCCTGCTCCTCGCCTCCCGGGAGCCCCGTCCCCGCGTCTGGGACGTCCTCTTTGGGATCGGCTGTCACACTCACCTGGGACGTCCTCTCTGGGGTCGGCTGTCACACTCACCTGGGACGTCCTCTGTGGGGTCGGCTGTCACACTCACCTGGGGCGTCCTCTCTGGGGTCGGCTGTCACACTCACCTGGGGCGTCCTCTCTGGGGTCGGCTGTCACACTCACCTGGGGCGTCCTCTCTGGGGTCGGCTGTCACACTCACCTGGGGCGTCCTCTCTGGGGTCGGCTGTCACACTCACCTGGGGCGTCCTCTCTGGGGTCGGCTGTCACACTCACCTGGGGCGTCCTCTCTGGGGTCGGCTGTCACACTCACCTGGGGCGTCCTCTCTGGGGTCGGCTGTCACACTCACCTGGGGCGTCCTCTCTGGGGTCGGCTGTCACACTCACCTGGGGCGTCCTCTCTGGGGTCGGCTGTCACACTCACCTGGGACGTCCTCTCTGGGGTCGGCTGTCACAC